GAATTATATTTAAATTAAATCAATGAGTTAATCTTATAAAGGCGAACATATTGATTTAATTTAAATATAAAATTTTACATCCAGTTTCTATCAGATTCCAGCAGCACATCTCAAAATTAAATTATTCCTTTCTGGTAGATCAGCTTGTAAATCCAGCAGACGAAGCTAAAATTGCATGATAAAAAAAGTAAAACTTTACATCGAAAACATTAAATTTAAAAATATTAAGCGTTGAATATTTATTTAAAACTTCGATTATTTAATTTGAAAATATCAAGAAATTATATCCTTTGTAATAAAATTCAATGGGTAGATATCCCTATCAATACCAAGAGCCAAAAAATAATCGGTACTTCAAAAACAGAAGTATATATATATATAATATATAATATATATATATATGAATGTGATAAAATTCAATGCTTAGGATAAAATAATATTAAAAGAATGCATTTGTGGGATTTTTATTTTTAAGTTTCTCTCAGGCCGATTCCTAGAAATTGAGACTTGGCGATTATTCTGCCACAGATCAGGATACGGAAATTTCCCCATACATATGACAATAGCCATTCTTTGGTAAACTTTATTGTCAAAAGGGCAAATAATATTTCTTTATAATCAGAAGGATTAATCAATCAGAATCTTGACGGAGAGCTTTTAATTCTTGATGTGTGTTTTTATGAAAATGAACACAGCTCAAAAATAGTGTTTAAGAAATTGGACAAATATATTGCCCTTTTAATGTTCAACACAACATTTAACAACTAAACAAGCATTTCATGCCTTCTTTTCTTAACATTATAAGCTCTAATCATTAGAGAACAAAGTATTGGACTATGAAAATGTCTGTACAAATACATGTCTGACATTGAATAAATAATGTATACAAAAATAAAAGTTTCGAAAGTAAATACAAAAGGTAACAATATTCAAAGCTGCTTCAAAAGAAAAATAATCAGGATTAACTGCAAAGATATTAAATGATGACTGCAATTGGCAGCTTATATAAACAAATTGTATCACTCTAATTTTAACAGAGTATTTACTTATTACATGAAGTAAATTGTAAAGAAAAGAAAATTAACACAACAGAAGAGATACCAGTAATATTACACTAAAATTTTTACTTAAGATAACTTCACAAAACTAAATAGCTCTTTCAGCATTTCCGGAAGAAAAAAAATAAGTTCCCTGAATTTTTCATGAAATTTTACTGCTTTTATCTAAATAATAATCTGGCGTAATATTTGTTATACACTTCTTAAAATTGCAGTCATGAATATAATTGCAAAAATAGGATATGCCTACACTCTAGAGGACATTATAACTGGCTAAAGTTGATACTTCAATGAAATATTAAGAAAAAATTTAATCTCAGGAAATTAACGAAACTTTCAAATGTACAGCTACTCATCAAAGTAAGTCATTTTTCTTCTACTTTCTAAAAATTTCATTATTTTCACAATAAAAACACCGACATTGACTATGTTTACTCAAATTTATTAATTGTTTCAAGTTTTGAGTTTACTTTCGTTCGTGTGAGATTCCTTTTCATTATTATTAAGTTACTTTTTAATCTGAATCAGTTTGTTGTTATCATAAAATTGAAAATATTTCATTTAACGAACGACAACCGATTGATTTATTAAGCTGAGTTGTAGAGCAGCTAGATTTTAAACAAAAAATTTCTGTTCGGGTTTATTCATCAGGCTTTTTAGTGACCAGATCTAATTTTTAAAATATTTTTAGTGTAAAAATTTGCCGGATAAATCAGAAACAATGTTATTTTAGTACTTAAATTACTAAATTATAATAATTTCACAAGGAATTTTACTAACTAACAATCGATTCATTATCTGCGTTCNCGAACTGACCAAACCGACCAGAAACCTGGTGCACTTCGTGCGTAACTGGTGACACTGGTTTGAATATTGGAACGATCGGTGCAGTGCACTGGTGTAACTGGTTTTAATATTGGAACGGTCGGTGCGGCAAACCAGTGCAACCGGTTACACCGGTGCGAATATTGGAACGTGCCCATTATAGTATTGTTATCGACTCCAATATTTGTAAATAAACCATCATGTGCTGCAATGGGAAGTCAGGAAAAATATTCTGGATATAAATTAGAAGTTTTATCAAAACTCAGGCACAGGAATGAAAACGAAAGAAAAAGATATGAATCTATCGTCAATTTAAGTAAGTTTATTTCTTCATGTACATCGGAATTTTAAAATATTATCTATAACTTAGATGTGGCTTCTGTTTCATTTTCGCTAAGTCATTACTGATTATCAAATTAAAAATCATACGTACGTTTTAGTTACAGTGCCTTGTCTCTTAGAATTTAATAACTATGTATTTCCTTTAAAATTTTATTTAAATTTCTTGTGCTTTTATTCTAAAAGGGAAAGTGAAATCATTTAAAGTATTACAAGAAGAATTATGTTTTCAGATTAGTAGAATGTAAACAATGGCTTATAAAGGATCTGTATATTTTTAAGTTAATCCTTTTTATTGTCTTATTACATTTCCAAATGGAGAAATAAATTCTATAACTACGTAATATTAGTGTAATTTGTTTCTTTTTAATTCTTAATTTCTCTTAATTTATTTTTAAGTTGCAGAGAAGTAAATAAAGCCTGATTTAGAGATCCAAAGGCTGTAGGCACACCAATCAGAGGCTTCGATGATTGCAATATTGAATCACTTGTTTGTGTCAAAATGCTTCTAAGTGATAATATATAATCAAAAATGTAAGAGAATTAAGATATTTAAAGATCAATTAAGCTAACATTTATTTAAATTTTTGATGTATATTTGGTTTATTTACATGATTATATTGAAAAAATTTTATAGAAAATTACATTTACTGAAGAATACAGAACTGGTATGAGACATATAAATATTTATTTACTCTACTTAAGAAGCAATATTAGATGATGAATACAACTGCTATTCTTTATTTTCATTTTGTAATAAGGGGGCATAAGAAATTTTTTTAAATATGTTCAGCATTTTTCCTGAAATATTTATTTGGTTATCTATTTCTGTGTGTGTGTTCTGTCATTTTTAATTGTTCACTTTACCAGTTTCTCGACAGGTCTTACTCTTTTTTATTTATTTTGCTGTATGATATCTTCAGAATAGTTCATAAATATTCCAAATACAATATTTTTAAATCTAAAAAGACCCTCAAAATTAAAGAGGGTCTTAGGCCTGCTCTTTTTTATTAGTAATTAGACAAATGAAATTGAAACAGTACTAAGCAATAACAAAGTCTATACTTGATTTACATGGTTTTTAAGTATCTCGATATATTTCAAACAATATGGAAAATTTAAATCATGCATTTTAGTATTTACTTTTTAAGACAATAATTCTTTTGAATTTTTGGCAGCTATTGGTATTAATTTCTCCATAGTTTTTAAATCCGATATTTTTTATGTAATATTATTTATTACAGCAACCCAATCTCAAAATGAAACACGCATTTGAGGAGCCCAATTCGCGTGATTTTGTTGTTGATCTTTTTTCGGCAATTACTACGTGGATTTCATGATTTTTATATTCTTTTATTGTGATGATTATTTACAAAATGAAAAGAAAGAAATAATTTGTGCATTCCCTCCCACCCAACAAATGCAAGAATATCACCTATAATATTAGAATAAGAAATTATTACATGTTATACACTGAACTTTTGTTATTTTAAATTAGTAATATGCGTTTTTTTAGTATTAAAAGTATCTTGCTGAAATATATTAGTGCTCGAGAGCTTTGTTGCAGATAGCTCAAAAAAATTTTGCTACAGGGTCTGTGACTTAGGTTCACATGTGCCTATCGGGTAACGTTAAATGAGCAACTCTTCCGGCATCTTCCAATGCAAAGAAGAGGAGTTCAGTATCCACCCTTAATAAAAATTAAAAAAAATTAGATTTACTTATGTGTTGAAGTTTACTTGTTGGTAGTTAAAAAACTATCCTTTTCAAGCACACACTGCAATGCAGCTATTTTAAAATAAGTTTCTGGTTCGCCACATGCTTTTTTCAAAAGCGTAACCAGAGAAACATGCTAACTGTGAAGAAAATGTACCGTTCATGCTGGGGACCAGCATAATTGTATCTAAATCAAGACTCCGGACAAGCTGATTCAAATTTGATTTTAATGTTAAATGCCACATAGTAGAAAAATGACATGATGAACATCAAAAGGGTAGCACATTAATGTAGCCTCAAAATGTGCATAAGATGATAACACAAATCAACAATTAGAAATAAATATTTTGCGCTAGCATTAGTCCTTAAGTAAAAGGGATAGCTCTGTTTAAACTCTTACGTATATATAATATTGATGCTGACACATCTTCAGAAAAAGTAAAATATTATAATTGCACCAGATTTAAAAATATATGCAAATTTCAAACCTTGAAGTAAAAAGATCCGATATGACGTTGCATTTAATAACTCCTCTTTCTTGTTGCAGACCACTTGATCACTTAAACAGGAGAAAATTTAAACCCAAATTCTAAGCAAAACATTGGAATTAGGCTAGTAATATCGATTGGTTGACCAAATTAATGTTGTCAATTGACAGAATGTTACAACATAAACACACTTTTGTTTTATAAATAAACATAAAATTTTAAATATTAATGACATTCAAATTTTATTTCAATTTATCCTTTCTTCTGAGCTTTTGGATTGCAATAATTTAGCGTGGAAATAGCATGTTTATAAATTAAAATTTTGAGCACTTTTAGTGATTTTCAATTTGTTTCTTGCTTTGTTAACTCTGATCTATTTTAAAATACATATAATTTATTTATCTGTGACTTCTGAACTAGTCACTGGTGTAAACACTTTATTTTTTCTTTATAGCAAACAATCTTTATGAGTTATTGGACTATCACCTAAAAGAAAATGTTCGATTACGTGTTAGTAAAGCACATCTTGAGCAAGATGTAATTGATCTTCAAAGAAATCCTGATGCCAGGTTTGTCTATTATACATACCTATTGAATTTAGTTTAAAAATAATTAATATTAAACTATGTATAATTTTGGTAATAGCAGTAAGTATATAAAGGATTTTTTATTTTTTTTTAAAATTTATTGATCATGATTTTTTTTTTTCGAATTTGTTTTCTCATTTATGCTAAATTTATAATAAACATCATTCGAAATTTTAATTATAGTAAAAGCCCAACCATCTGGAGTTCCACTGACCGGACTCAACTCAATTTTCCAAAATTTTCTGAAGCTCCTAAAAAAAAAACAATTTTTTTTTTCTTTTCAGAAGATTAGTTACATTTGAAAAATTTATATTAAATAAAGCTTGACTTTCTGGAATTCTTGTTGTGAGAACTTTTAGCAAACCTTATTAGAAAATCTTTTTAAATCTTTTCTTTTTCAAAAAAGGTAAATAACTGGAGATTTTGAAAATCATAAACTTTCTCACAGCTAATTTTAGAGTAGATTCTTTCGCTATAAAAATTGTTTTTTAGTAGTAAATATGCTCAATATTTTGCTCTTCATTAGTTACTGTAAAGTACTGAGCAATCACTCTGAGTTTAATTAACCAGTATTTAATTCAGCTCAAATATAAATATATAATTATAACTTACGTTTTTATCAATACACAAGCAATTAGCACTAAAAATGTCATCACTGTATAAGCAATAAGAACAAGTTCAATCTTTGCCTAAAGGGCAGTTGTATCAATGTAAGATTGCAAGTGAATGGAAAAAATTTGCCCTCTCCTTAAAAAGTGAGAAAAAAATAGCCAGAAGAAAAAAAGCAAAACAGGAGAAAATTTTAAGTTTGCATATTACATTTTGATTTGTTCCAATTTAAATTTTCTTTTAATTAAACTTCTTTCTGTACAATAACTGATACATTACAGAAAGTTTAAACAGTAATGTGGAGAATGAATCTTAAATAGCCAGGATTCTAGTTATAGAGTAGGAGTTAAGACCATTCAAGTTTTCTTTCTGTTTCCTTCTTGCCAATTTCTCCAATTTTTCAGCTTTTTTCCTCACTCTGAGACATTCAGAGTTTGTTATTTTTCTGTGTAATACGATAACATTATCATTTTATGTAAGCATTCCATTCCATTCCTTTAACCTATAATTTAAAGTGAAGCATACTATGCAGAGTAGGATGAAAGACTTGAATAGTTTTCTTTCTTTTTGTTGCGTTCAAATTTTATTTAAGTATTTTAACAAAAATAGAAAATATAAAGGGAAAAAAAAAGATTTGATGATATTGTTTTAAAAATCTGTAATGGAGAAATTGATTAATGCCTTGGTACTGCTTTTCTAAGAATGATTGGACGGTTGTAACTAGTTGAAAGCTCATTGATTATTACGTTTTCCAAAACATAAATGTAATCTTGATTTTAGGGCTTGATTTTAAAAGTTTTGATGAGCAAACTATTTAATGAAAATTTTTTGATTCTACAATTCAAATTTAATCGGTAAAGCAAAGCAACCTGGATAAAGCACAAAATGGACATACTATAGTTTCAGTTCTATTAACAAGAACCTTCCTTTGTATCGAAACACAAAATAACAGTAGAAAAAGTATTAGACATCATGTGCGAAGTGGTTTAAACTGTAGGGGAAGAGGAACAAACTTGGGCAAGGTAATGAGATAAACAGGAGGTTTGGGTGAAAATCCCAGGGTGTAAGACGAAGAAATTTAATTAGGATAGAGATTAGAGAGAGAACTAAATTATTAGAATTTTTCAAAATATGGAATAATTCTCAAAAATTAATGTCAGTAGATTAGTAATTCATCCCATATACTGTATTTTGGAGAGGCCTGAAAAGAAATTTGTCCTCCTCATTGATTGTCAAGCTTCAGTTTATACAGTTACAAAATATGTCCTTCTGTATACAGCTATTGAATTTAATCTACTAGATCTATCTATTGGAAAGAAAATTATTCTACTACAGATTCCTTGCCGAAAGTTGGTGTAATAAGTTAGAAATTTGTATCTTTACAAGATACCTGGTATTTGTTATTCTAGGACACTTCATTTTATTTGACCATCACAAAACATTATTGCATATATATTTTTAAATCTGTTGCCAAGAATGCTAAAGTTATAAAACTAAATTTTTTGTTTAAAATGCTTTAATTAACTATTAATTTATTTCAACTGTACTCATATTTAGTGCATTTAACTTCTTCTTTTTTTTNAGGGTAAACACAGCAAACGTTAAAGTGGAGGGGGAATCCCCTTTAGTCACACAAGAAAAAATAAAGAGAACCCAATCAGCATGCCACGCCTTTATGCTTGATTGATAGCCAATGACAGGAGAGAAAATAAGAACTTGTCACTTCCCCCCCTTCAACTTGAATGACAAGTAAGAAGGAAATGAATTTTGCTTCTTCACCTACCCACCTTAATGAATGAATGACGGGAATTTCCCCTTCTTGCTTGAAACGTTCTAGTTCAAAATGGCGGAGAGAGCAATTAATATTTTCATAACTGTAAATTTTTTTAGTTTCCTATATTTATTTTTATAATAGCAATAATTATTTTTTTTTAAATATTTTGTTTTTGATTGATTAGATATCATTCTAATACTAAAACATTATTGCCCGAAAAATAATGTTATTTAATTTCTGCTTTTTAGATTTAGATCATTTTAATCTCTGTTTACCTTGGGGGTCTATTATACGGAAAAATCGATTATCCGGACTTCGGAAAGTCCCGCCGATTCCGGATACGCGACTTTCCACTGTATGTCCTTCTGTATACAGCCATTGAATTTAATCTACTAGATCTATCTATTGGAAAGAAAATTATTCTACTACAGATTCCTTGCCGAAAGTTGGTGTAATAAGTTAGAAATTTGTATCTTTACAAGATACCTGGTATTTGCTATTCTAGGACACTTCATTTTATTTGACCATCACGAAACATTATTGCATATATTTTTTTAAATCTGTTGCCAAGAATGCTAAAGTTATAAAACTAAATTTTTTGTTTAAAATGCTTTAATTAACTATTAATTTATTTTAACTGTACTCATATTTAGTGCATTTAACTTCTTTTTTTTTTTTTCATTTTATTTTAGTGTGCCAAGACCGGTTGAAAGGACCTATTCTGGAAAAAACTTTCTCCTCTTACAAGATGAGCTCACAGAACTACTCAAGCAAAAAGCAGAGGTAAGTGTTTATGCTTTACATATTCTCTGTTATCATTGAGCAAAGATGCTAAATGAGCTTTATTAAATAACTAATTGTGGAATTTATTTATATCGATAGTATTCATCTAACTTTGTTATGTTTAATTGAGCTGTACTTTTGGTGCAGTTGATGGACCTAAGTAAGTCAAACAGGTTTTTTATTTTTTTTGTTATCAAAATATGTGAAAACCATTCATAGATTTTGATTTTAGATGTATGGGAGTATTAGAAATCTGTTGGGCTATCATTATTATTATTATTATTTGAGAAGTTAATTTGTATTGTAAGCATTCTATGCAATTTTAGATTTGTGGGAGTATACTGATGGGCTGATATTGTAAAGTATTTTTTAAGTTTTTGGTCTTATGTCAGGTTACATATCTGAGAAATTGATGTAAATTTTTACCAGTGTTTGTATTTTATTATAATTCTTTACAAGTATTTGCAATTATTATAATTTGACCTTTTACTTTGTTTATTGGTTATTACCAATATATTTGTTTTGCTTTGAGGCTTAGGTTACATTAAGTTGGTTTAAATGGATTTTGTAGATTTGGTTTTTGACAGGCATTAGCCTCAACTTTCTGTCATTATACTGTTGTAAATTCTATATGTGCACACACAATATTCATAATCTATGAATCATATTAAGAAAAAATTTTTTTTTTTAATTTTCTATAATTCTTCTGTTTTTTATTCACATCCATAATTAAATAAAATGTAGAAATAGGCTCTAAAGTAAACTCTGAATAAATGTGCTGTAGATTTTGTTAACTTTGTTGTAATTTTTTTCCCTTTCTTTTTTTCTCCAAATGCTATAGTGCCTTCTAGGATATACTTTGATTATTTATGTATTTAGTACAGAGTAAGGAAAAAATAGAAAAAAAGGAAGTTAAAAAAGCAATTCTTTTAATATTTTTAAAAATTTTGATTCCTTTTTTTTGTTCTCATATTCTTTAAAATCTTCTTTATTAGTGTCTCTTTCAAACTATGTGTCTGAAGCATATACTGCTGCCATGCAAATCCTAGATTACTATTGCATGCAACAATTATTAAACTTAAAACTTTCAGAAAAGCTCAAACTTTACAATTTGTTTAGATTTAAAAAGGTAAATTAATAAAAAATTTTTTTTACCGTGTCCATGGACAATTAAATGGCCTCATTAGCCTTCAAAACTGCATCCGCAAGCTCCAATACATCTGTTTTTAGTTGAAGAAAGTTCACTGTCCACGTAGCATATTTCTCAAAGCAACCCCGGACTGCAGGTTGTATCGCGTTGGCTGCCCCGGACGCAGTAGCTTGATGACTAGAGATCAAAATTGCACTGTCCATGGAAAAGGAGGGTTACCAGAGCCTCGAAAGGTTGGACTTCTACCTGTTGGTCAGCGGAAGGTATTGCATTTCCCTTCTACCACCCACTGGAGAACCAGTGGAGGCATTCCCCTATCCGCCACCTGGGGACGCGCTCTCTATGGGTAAAAGGCTCCCCCGAGAGAATAATAAATAAAATATAATAAAATAATAAATAAGATACATAAAAATAATAAATAAGATAAATAAACAAAAAAAGTAATCCAAAAATGACTTTTTTAGACTAATTAACTAGTGTGTATTTCGCACGAAAAAGAGACACTCTTAATAACTTTCGATGTAACTATCAGGTTTTTATTTACTAAATGCAATCTTAATGGTTCTAGAAGAATACCTTCATTAAACTGGTTAATTAATTCAGGCAGACATTTCAAGCTACAAGATGTGATTGGCAAAAAACGTTCTTTCTCTGAATAGCATACCTTTTTCTTGAGAAATTCTGGTTTCTTTGCCCTCAATCTGGACAAAAAGGTCCTAATAGTTTAGTCAAGGGGGCAGTCATAAGTTTGATGCCCTTGTTAAAGTGTATTTGTTTATCTCATGAACTATTTAAATAAATCAATAAAGTTTTGAACTTAATTATAAAACACCTCTATTTTAAGATGACTCCATGTAAAATTAATTTTTTGTATGAAATTTTTATGCATTATAATTTAATAATAATTAATGCATGTAAGATATATAAATTCATTCATCATTTTGAATTATATAATTTTAAACTTGACAAAATTGAACTATAGTTTCTTTGCCACAAAGCTTTAAAAAGTTTTATTTCTAAATTTCTGTATAACTGTTGATTGTAACCTTAAATAATGTGAAGTGAAGCAAAAAAATAATAATGATAATACCCGTAATAATTTTTATTCTAATGAATATATTTTCACACACTAAGTGCTAACTATTAATTAAGTTATAGATTCAGGCACAAAAAGATGCTTTCTCTGGCTAAACATATCTTTTTTTATGGATTTTGATTCTTAAATGTTAAAATATTGAAGATACTCTCAATCTGGAAAATAATGTTTCAATAGTTTGGTCATGAAAGTAGTCAAGAGTTCAAAAAATCCAATTGTTCGAACAAAAGATATTCTGGGTGATATTTTTTTCTTATTATGCTCACTATATATTATGCATTTTTATTGGAAAATTCCAATAGTTTCATTTTTTCTTCAACAATAATTCAAATAGTTTCATTTTTTCTTCAAGTTTCTTCAACATTGCAGTGTACTATATATACTTGAGTGGTCTCTGAAAAAAATTTAAAACTAATGTAAAGTTTATTTAAATTTTTTTTTAGTATGCTCAGCAAGTCATTGTTTTACGAAGTTCTAATGATGAGAAAGAGAAAGAAATAGCTGCCAAAACCCTAGAGTAAGTGAAATATAATAATCATTTATGTTATTAAAAGCACTTAATTTTTGGATTTTCTCTAAATATTAAAGACTCTCTGAATCACTTTAACTTTAATGTTGTATTTGTATACTCAACAATCAACTTTTTGAATAACCCTGTTTGTAGTTTTATAATAATTTCATAATGCTTTATTTGATTGCAATTTTGACACAACATTTAAAACAGTCCTGGGAAAGGAACTATAAAAGTCTAATAAAGCAATTCACAAAGAGATTTTTAATTCATCTATTTCCGAAATTTGAACTTCTAAAAAAAATGTGGTTGAGAGTCTAATTAGTGTAACATGCATGGACTAGGCTCAGAGTGAAAGTAGAATGCAAGATTTGTATGAACTTTATTTTAATAAATGTGTCTGCACATTGCTACATAATGTTTTTTATTATAATTCATGTTTATTCATTAATAGAGTTTTAATAAAATGGAAGAAGATATCTGTTAGTTAAAAGCAATTTAACTTTTCAAATATTTTTTAATGGCAGCAGTTTTAGCAGATAGGAAAACCTGCACTGCTTTCATTTTTTTAGAAAAAGCCAAATTATTTAGGTAAATGTCACACGGTATAAAATCAAAATGATATATTTATTTAATGGTACTGAATGTGAATTATTTGAGCACCATTTATTTCTCTGTAATATCTTGTTTTAATGAAAACAAAAGGAGTATCTTTCACATAAATCTGGTAGATATTTCATAATTAAGATAAATATTTGAAACCTAAAAAATATTGGTTCATTTTATCTCATTTCTTAACATTCATTTAAAAAAATGCTTATTATATAGAAATTTTGCTGGTTTTACTTAATTGTTTTTATGGGATCCAGTACAATAATGGAGCTGTAGTAATAAATGCTTAAGAAATCAATGTTTAATATATTTATTGATAAATTTCAATGTGTGTAATTATTTATTAAGCTTAATAAAGATATCACTTTTATTGTATTTGGCGGTTTAATGAAAATCTAAAATGCTCTTATCTATCTAATATCTTAACTTATAATTGCAGATAAGCTTATAAAAGGTAAGTTATAGGTTTTTGACTTGAAATATTATGATAAACTCTCTGCATCGATTACTGTAATTTCGGGGAGATGCGCCACGTAGGTATGTACGCTGTGCCTGCAAAAATTGACTAAAATATTTTTATTGGATATGCTACACCGTCGAATACGCCACATTGAATTTTACTATACTAATGCAGGTATTGGTTTCACACTCAACAAATGTGTTCTAAATATGCATATATATATATAATTTAAACAGTTGAATAAAAACCATTAAAAAGGTATTATATTTATTACTTGTTTTACATTTATTTATCTTTTATTGTAAAAACAGTCAGATTATACTTATTTCTTTTCATTTTAGAATTCAAGAATTGGAAACTCAATTAAGAACAACGGAGCAGCTATTGCAGCAAGTTCAGCAAAAGTTAAAGGAAACTGACCATAATTTACAAGTAAATTTTAAATATTTAATGTGTGATCTATGTTGTACTTAGGATATATTTTGCATTTAATGTTATATTTATTTTTAGTATATTCTGATTTTTAAATTAAGATGAATATTTAAGTATACATAGAGTGAATAAACCTAAACAAAATGACAGACAGAAAAACATGAAACAAACACCTTGCAATTAAGAAGAAACTTGTTTACTTAATAAGGGAAGAGGAACAACAGTGAAAGAAGGGGTATAAGATGCAGGTGTGTGGGGGGATGAGAATCTAGGTGTGCAAGATGTAGATATTAAATTAAAATGTATTTCCAGTCATTAGGAAATAATGGGTTAGCTGAAAGATCATTAACTAAATGATAAGAATTTTTTAAAATATGAATAATTCCCAGATATGGTTAGCAGCTAAAACGCAATGTTGAATGATTTTAGCAGTAGAAAACTAAACCCATATTTTGAATTCCAACTATATAGGATGATGGATTGTCATTTAATATTTTGATTTTAATACATCTTTCTTGATCCTGTTTAAGGATACACTTAGTTTGTCCAATATAGGTAAGATCACTCTGATAAAAAATGTGATAAATTAGCTGTATGGTCTTTAGTTTGGTGAAATTTAGTTAAACTAAAATTTGTGAAATTTAGTTAAACTCAAATTTGTGAAATTTAGTCAAACTCGAATTTATTCAAAATCTTAGCAATTGAGAGACTGATTCTGAGATTATGAATTTTAATGAATTTATGAAACAATGAATTTTTTAAAATTGGAAATAGAGTGTTTCTTTTTTGTTGTTGATTGTTTGATTAATTTTCTATTAATGAAATCAACAATTTTGGAATGAAACCCATAGGCAATAGTGATAACTTTAAGGTAAGAAAAGCCTACATTGAAGAGACTACTATTAGAACAAATTTTTTTTGTAATGGTATATAAGAATCCAAACAGTATCTATCTGTTGAATAGGAAAGAAACTCATCTCAATTCAAAGTATTAAGAGCTGTTTTAAGAAAAATTAATCCATATTATTTTTTTGTTCAAACATGGATTGATTGCAAGGATATATACAATTCATATTATTAAAAACATAATGTCAACATCGTCCATTTGCATGAAACAGTTATCAAATGTCATCTAAACTTTAATAAATCGAAGAGTTTCACTTCAAAGTAGTGCATATACTGCCGTACAAATGGAAAAACAGCTTAAGTGTCTCACAGTAGATTTTTAGAAAAGTGGCTTTGGCAACTGTTTTGTTTCAATTGCTAATGCTATCAACACTAAAATAGAATTTTAAAATACTGATAAAACAAAATTTAATTTTGGAAAAATCTTATGTAATTTGTAGCTTATGATACAAATATATAAAAATCTCTATTTTGAATTTTTGTGGCTTACACTGATTTTCTTCCATGGCAGTATGCAGGACACTTATGAAGAGAGTGAGTGAATTATTTATAGCTAAGCCATGAATCTTACAATAAATTTTATCATTAAATATGAAAATGAATTGTTATTAACAAGTGTGGGGAAGATGTAATAGTTTGTAATTTCAACACTGCTGAAATTAAATTTTTGTTATATCCTTTAAACAAGCAAGGGCTCTATTAATAAGAACTTTAGAGAATAAAAATTTTTGATCAAAAAATACTATTATGTTGTGCCATTATTTTTGCTTTATTCATATGTAGAACAAAGTATACTCTATCTTCATTTGGATATACATGGAGTATTTACAAAAACATTAAATTCATATGCTTTTTTTGACATTTTTAGCTCAACATCAAAATAGAAACTTTCTCGGCGGAAAGATTAGTGTCAGCAAAATTGCTTTAATTAAAGATTCAAGGCCTGTCATTTAATGAATGAAATCAAAAGAAAAACATATTGACCTGATTCTATCTTCTCAGTATAATAATAGCTATAAAGTACAACATTACAAAACATGAGCTCAATCATGTTCCTCAGTTAATTTAAATATATATATGTATATAACTTTATAAAAACACTGTATTTTTTTTAGTTTGGATAACTATTTATAAATCAAAACAAAATTTTAGATTTGTTTCTTGGGATTTCAAATTTATGCAAAAAACATGAACTGATTCTAAACACAAACACTGATTTTAAAAAGCTTATGAAAGTAAAAGTCAGAATTTTTCCTTGAAGTTCAAAATTGAACTGCAGTTCTTTTACATGAAGCAAAAGCAGCACAAGCATGGTTAAGAAATAATTTTTAATTTTTATACAAACTTCAAATTGGCTACCATACATATTACCAAGCCTCCAGACCTTAAAACTTTTAACAATTTTCTTGAAAAAGCTTTAAAAAAAAGTATTTCACAAGCTGCCATGTATGCCTTAGTAAACTTGAAAAATAAAATTAGTTAAGGCAGGATATACCCATAAATTTCAAATAATTTCACAAAACAAATTTCTAACAAGTAACAATGACAAACATTGTGAAATAGTTTTTCCTTTCTTGGTTTGTTTTGATATATTCGGAAAGATGGTAGGACTTATATCATATATCTGTATTTATTTTAGGTTCTCGTTATTATTACATATATTATTTGTAATTATACATATTTATAAATAAAAAAAAAGTCCAGTGTTCTACTTCTGCAGCTATGTTGCTCCCTTCTCCCTCATCTATACTCTATCAGCATCATGTCCATAATATCCTTTCTCACAAGCGAGTCCTTCTCTTTTTAACTCCTTTCCTCCCCCACTATAGGGCAACAATGCATCCCATGTTCTTTGCCCACTGACCCTCAGGTCAGGGGTCGTTCAGATGTGTGGGAGTGGAATCTAGAGTCCTGACAAACATGAAATTGTAAAAATATCAATTTATGTTTCCCCTTTTTTAATTCCCTATTTTTTTTTAAAATTAATCACCACACTTTAAATAGTTATTTTCTTACTTTTATTTATTTATTTTTAAAATTTTACTGTAATTTACATTGGAGAATTTCTAAGATCCTTTTAATATATAGTGTTATATAATTTAAGTCCGTTAAGTTTGATTTAGTTTAAGTTCAATATTTTATTTACATGTAATATTACTTTTTGAAAGAGGCATGGAAAATTTAGTATTACAATGAACTTTTTCTCCTTTAATTTAGTTTGTGAAAGATGAATATGATGCTCTACTTATAACATACACAACTGTAGAAGAAAAAAAGACTAAGTTGGAGAAGGAAAATCAGGAACTGATTGCTCGCTTCATTCAACTGAAGGCGTTAGATGCTGACAAACTGAATGCTGAGACAGAGTCTTTTCAAAGGTTTGGAAAAGTTAGAAGTTAGGATTTCAGACGTTAATTCAGTACAACAATTTTTAAGAATGAAATATTCCATTTGACTTTTTATGTATTTATTTCTGCATGTGAATCCATTCTATTGCAAGAATCAGCTATAATTTTAATTTGACTTTAATTCCTTGATGTGTATTATTAATTATTTTAGTGACAAATTTTAATAAATTGTATTTGTTACTAGGGTTTTATTGATAATTATTTTTTAGCTTACTTAAGAACTTAACTATTAAAAAGGTTATATAGTTGAGTTTTTTTATATATATTTTTAATATTGTATGTATTTCGAAAATGTTACATTACATTTTATGAAAATATAAAGTATACCTTCACAAATAATTTTACTATCACAGTGTTGATTTTGACCATTCCTGTAAATTTTTTTAAAAGAATATATATGCTGGTGATGAATGCAAAGATCAGAACCTTTAGAAAGACTTTGTAAATGAGATTAAAAAATGAGACTAAGTTTAGATATAGCTTACATTTAAACTACATAAGCAGTCTTATTTATAGTCTTAGTCTATCACAATTATGTTTTCCCATTATGCCAGAATCATGATTATTTGTGAGTAACCGTGCTTTGCTTCAAATCAACATGTTGTTTAATACAAAGTAATATAAGTCAAACTGTTGCATTCAAATGTTTAGTATAATAGAGATGTAATGATCTCTGAACTTGTTTTGCAAAATTTAATATATCTTTATCTTGTGCTTTTAACATGTCTTTATTTAAATATATGCATCTCTTAATATAGACTTATAAGTTTTATTTTTATCTTTCATTCCATTTTCTACTTAATTGAACATTGGATTATGTAAAATTGAAGAGGCGGAAAATGATGTAGAAATCTTGGATAATTTTTTAGACATAATATTATAATAGAATGATAATATTACTTTTAAGAAATGAAAAAGGTTTTCCTTTAAACTAATAATAACATATGCTTCTTTTAAACTAATAATCACATTTATTTCTTTTAAACTAATAATCACATTTATTTCTTTTAAACTAATGATCACATCTATTTCTTTTAAACTAATTATGACAGAACATATTTAAAATTGTTGTGAAATTTGTCCAAAAAAAAAAACTGATCATGAAAATCGGTTTATCTTGTAAATTTTGTTCTCTGAAAATCTCAAGGATATTACTTTAAATAAACAATTATCACCCTGTTACTGTTCTTAAGAATAATATTTTGCAATATTTTCCTCATTCATCACATTATCTCCTACTTTTTTTTGCAATTTTCTGAAATTTTTCTATTAATGAAAGCACAAAAAGTATATACAGTGGAAAGTCGCGTATCCGGAATCGGCGGGACTTCCCGAAGTCCGTATATTTGATTTTTCCGTATAATTGACGTCCAAGTTAAACAAAGCTGAATCTAAGCAGCAGAAAATAAATAAACATTATTTTTCGGGCAATAATGTTTTAGTATTAGAATGATATCTAATCAATTATAAACAAAATATTAGAAAAAAAAATAATTATTGCTATTTTAAAAATAAATATAGAAAACGAAAAAAAATTCACAGTTATGAAAATATTAATTGCTCTCTCCGCCATTTTGAACTAGAACGATTCAAGCAAGAAGGGGAAATTCCCGTCATTCATTAAGGTGGGTAGATGGAGAAGAAAAATTCATTTCCTCTTTACTTGTCATTCAAGTTGAGGGCGGGGTAGCAACAAATTCTTATTTTCTCTCCCATCATTGGCTATCAATCAAGCATAAAGGCGTGGCATGCTGATTGGGTTCTCTTAATTTTTTTCTTGTGTGACTAAAGGGGATTCCCCCTCCACTTAAACATTTGCTGTAATTACCCTTTTTCACAATATTTTTTCTTCCCCTGACACTTAAATAAAAAGGTTCCAGGAAATGCCTCTTTTACTAGCCAGCTGCATAAGAAAGAAGGGGGAGGAAGGGAACTCAGTTGTGCTCTTTTGAAAACAAATCTCCCCCCCCCCCCTCCTGCATTCCTGAGGAGGACCATCATGGTCTTAGTAGATCTTCTGTTCTCTTTTCTGTTGATTTATGGGTTTAACGCATAGATCTCTAGAAGCTGAAAAGGGGAAAAACCTGTCAAAAGACTTCGTTTTTTTTTTTTTTAAGGAGAGGGGAAGATGAAGAAATTTTTGTTTATTTGGATTGTTAAAAAGTGTCCGGGAAATCGACCCTTCCGGAAAAGGGATGTTACACTGTATGTTAATGGACACCCTTCCCACGTTACTGAAACTGTGCTAAACTTTTTAAATAACTTTCCAGTCCCCTTACCACATCTGATTTTAAGACCCACCTTAGTTTTTTTTTTTTTTAAATACAATTAATACTTATTTTTAAATTTTTTTTTTTAAACTTCACATTTTAGTCTTACGAAAACTGTTGCTCAATCCTCAGAAAATGAATGTTACCTAGTAACAATAGATTTTTCTTAAAATTGAATGAATTCTAGAAACTCTTTAGCAAACTTCTAATCCAATATTTAAATAATTCTTCATTCTGCACTGGGCTATTCATATTGTTCAGTATTTCATTCCAGTTGACTTTTTTTCAGAAGAATAAATGTGCACACATTTTTTTGACAGATTTAATACACCCCAAGAAACCATTTTTTTCTGTATCATAGTGAATTAAAATTTTAAAACCTATTTGAATTTAGTGATAATATGTATGTAACTTGCCTCATACACATTTAGCTTATCTTAAGGGAACTAATGGATCTTAAAGGGAAGTTGCATAAGAAATTGTTTTATTAAAATTTTCTCTGTACATACTAAAATTTCTCTAAAGATTTTTCCCAAAGTCTTTTTATATTATTTGAGTCACCCTCATAAAAGCATTTTCAAATTATGTCTAAAATTAATCTTTGATAAACTATTCTTTTCAGCTATTTCAAAATTAATTGAAAAATATACCTTGACATTAATAGAAAAATACAAATAACAATAATCTTGCCAAAAAAGCTCTTTTCATTATAGCTATAAATATGTAGTATGTATGGTTTATTATGCCATTTTTGCCAGACTATTGTTATTTAAAAGATTATAAAATGTTACTGTAACTAATTAATTTCTCAATAAAGACACTTTGTGAGCACTTTTTTTGTGTATTATTTAGTACCCTACTTTATTCTGATTTTCTAGATTAAAATTCTGTCGCTTAAAATTATCACCTATTTCATCTTAATTCCAAAATGTATTGAAATGGCCATTATTCATTTTGAGTTACCTTATCTTTGACAGTCAGGTTTAACCTCAGGAGTTTCATACAATTATAATGGTTATCTTGTCTCTTAAATTTTTTATTTTTAATAGAGGTTTAAACCATATTTGTTCAATTGAAAATATTGAGATTGTGCTAAACAAATCTATCACATTAGGATTTTTGCATTAAAAATTTCTGTTAGAAGATATCTAATATTAAAATTTATTTGGTGCTGGTTTGAAAAGATTAACTGGAATTTGGCTAACTATTTTTAGACAAGAGGACTAACAGAAAAGTGCATTTTTTTTCAGTCGTGCTTTTTTTAAATTTCATTTGTCATTTAGTTTAAACCTTGTATCAGTTAGATTTTTCCTTTAGTTGAATTGATTTTAATTATCTCTTCACTTTTTTTATCTATATTATATTTACATAAATTGTTTCTCTAGAGCATCAAAACAATTGTGATGTATATCAGTTTTTTATTTGTGAAGTTATTTTGTTAAACTAAATTATAAGCAGTATTTTTTGTAAAATGTTCTTATTTTTAAATTAATTTTTTTGCAATTTTAAATGCTAACTGGTTCAGCTTCTGTTATTAATTCTGTTATTAAAAATTAGAAAACAAATATTTATTTTACTTTTTGTTCTAGATTAAACAAACTTATCCATATTTAAAAATATATGTTTTTATAAAACAAACTTGAACTCAAAATCTCAGTGTAAAAATTTACTAAAAATAATTTGTTGAATTTTAGAGCAATTTCTACTCCAACAAATTGCTCTAAAAGTAATCTTAATCTTCAACAAAATTTGCTCAAATGTCAATAGTTAGTGCTTTTTTTTTTAAATTTTATAAAATTTTAAATTGATAATTAGGCATATTAATAAATTGTCCTGAAATTTAGCTGTTTTTTTTTAATATTGACTTACGTTTTTTTTTAAACTTTTTATTTGGAAAGAAATTAATTTAAATTGATTTCTTTAATAACTACTGCTAAAAAAATTCTGTTAAAGTGAATGACTCTATAGACAGAATTCTTACATTTCTGTATTTTATGCATGTCTGATTCAATATAATAAGTTTTTATATTAATTTATTTACAATGAAGCTGCAAAATTCCCATTCATTTAAAATATGCAGCATATTTATTTCAAGAATCTAAATAATTTGGCCTTTGTATTGAACTTAAAAAAATACAAGATGATCATAAAGCAATGTGAAGTTATGAAGTCCTCATTACTAGAAAACTAATTCCCAATAAAACCTATTAATAACAATTTTTTAAACATTGGAGACAGATTATTAGTATCTTGTTTTCATTAGTTTTAACTCCTAGATCTTTTTTATTTTTAATTTGAGAGAATTAATATAAAATTAGAGCAGATTCTTGGATTTTTTAGATATCACATCTTGAATTTAAATCATTGTTTTTTTCTCTCATTGACAAAAATAAAGAGTAATTGGCAGAGTGAAATTTCTAGAAAAATAAAAGAACGTTTATTTTTCCACTAATTGTTGTGAAAATCAAGTGCAATTAGATCTGTAAACAAAATTTCTCATCCTTCTCTCGAAAACAATAGCATAAGTTTTGCAAGATGAACGTAGTTGTTTTGGTGTAATGTCTTGGCTTTCAATCAAATGACGTTTGTTGTGGCTGTTGATTCTTCCATTTTCCAGTAATGTCAGATGAATCTAAGTATGGTTTTCAAGTTTATTGGTCTAATAATTTTGACCTTGAAAATAGTGTCTAGACATATTTCTCGTCAGTGGCAGATAAATTAACTGACATTAATGATGAAGTAGAACAATTGCACATTAGTCTGAATGGAAAAGCTTCCTGGTCAACGCACAGAAGCTTTTAAACAATTTTCAGGCCCATTTTATGTTATTGCTAGCAACATCATTTGACAAAGTGCATAGGAAAGTTTGTTTACAAATATGTAAATGCCTCAATCTACTTGTCAAATACGTTACAAAGTACCTTTGTTTGAATCCTACTTTTTGTAATAAAATCAGTTCTGTTTTTATTATTTTCTTTTTTAGTGGTCCATCGAGAAAATATATTTTTCTTACCGGTACTAATTTACCCTCTATGCACTGATTATATCTATTAAACTGAGAATTTCTACTCCAGATGCTTTCAAATTTCATAACACAGGAAATAAAGTTTACCACCTGAAGTATAATTTAATAGAAACAAATAGAGAATCTTAAAATATAAACATGAAACATTTTTAAATTAAAGAGCTTAATTGTAAATGAAAAATAAAAATATAAGTTGTTATGTTATTTATTGATAATTAAATAAAAATATAATTGTTTGCCGCAAAACTCATTTTATGAATAACGTCACATATTAAACTAGTTTATTATTGTATTATATGCTTGAATAAATGAAAAATCGTACAAAGATATAATAATCTTTGTAATTGGATACTAATTAGGTCCTACAAAAAAAATTCACTTTTTGTGAAAAGTAATATCACATAAATTAAACAACACATGAATCAAGCATTAACACTAGAAAGCTTGAGGAAACAAAATTGCCCGTTCGTTACAAAATTGAGAAGATTCTAATTATTGTTATGATTATTTATTTTTAGGACTATATCTGTTAATATCATATATACAGTGAAAGCTCTCGAGAGTGACCACTCTCTGTTCCATTGTAAAATGGTCATTAATGGAGTTTGGTCATTCTTAGGGGTTATCTTCATTGATTTAAAAATGTTATCAAAGGTAAATGATTTTTGGCTGATGATTTTAATTTTACACTTTGTCATTTCCTTGCTGTGGATAAATCACTTGTTTTGGCGTCAAGGAATAAAATTTTGCGTCGATAAAAATTACCCCTACTGATATAATAATAAAAACAAAATAATAAAAGGAAATGTACCAATTATGATTAATAGAGCTATTTTAAATGAATGAACAATTATGCTTTTGTTTAAATTTGTATTTAATTGTGTATTATAAAAAGTAGTTTGATTTAAAAAATCAGAAGATGTTTATTTGTTTGAGATGCTTAATTTATCCTAAAATTAAGTTTTTTTCTAATTTAACTTTCAACTTTGAAATTAAATCTTTGAAATTAAATCTTTGATAGCATCGTCTTTAGTGCACTCTGACTGCAACAAGAGGTTTTCCAATCTCTTTTAGAGATCGCCAGTAAGAATTCTCTAAATAAGAGCCACTCATTAATAATTTAAGACATTTAAATCTACTTCTTAATATGTTAATATTTTTTTTCAATATTTTTTCGTATTTCCTCATTTGACCTTTTCCGCATTTGGTGTGGACGTTTGCTTGATCTATGGGAGAATTTTTGATGGACTCTCCCAAAGGTTCTCTTTAACATAAAATCTATGGAAAAAAAATTCAGTGTTTCCCAAAAGTGGCTGTAAATAGAGGAGGTTGCTACACAGAGGTGGTCTTCCCTGAAGGTTTCACTGTGATGCAAAGTCATAAAATCTGTCAAGCTTTTTTTATTTTATAAATATTTAGGTTTTAAAAAGTGACAATTTTGTCTTCTTCTATCTTAGCAGTTTTGAAAAAATTTCATAAGGATGGTGATTTTATTGAAGAAATAGGCATAAACAATTGCCTGGAGACTGATAAAAAAAATTTCGGGTTAGAAAGTCAATACTAGCTTATTGTTACTTATCCTATTAGGCAATATTTTCAAACACTCGATTTGGTTTTTCATTGAAACATGAAAGTTAATAAGAGTATCAACTGAATTTATTAATGATTCATAAGACATCTATTCTATAATTTACTCCTCTTAAATATTAAGACAATATTGTTTAGAATAATTTTGATTTTCAAAAGGAGGAACATGATAACATAATTTTTAAAGAAATCGCTAATTGGGCTAAGTTTCATTTCTGGTTTGTTGTATTATTGTGTACATAGCTTAGCTACATAATTTTTGTCTTGTTTTAGTAAAAGAATGTTGAAGTAAAACTTTTGCTAGCTCAAACAATAAACAAATTGACAGCAGTGAACAAAAAAAGACACTAGCCTCATGGCAAGAGAGTAGATCTGATACAATAGCCCAAAAATTTTGCTGAAGTACAATGCTCTCTTCTGTAGAAATCACCATCCATTGTGCCGAATTCAGTTTTATTGGGGGAATTTGCAATAATCTTTCATAATGCATTAATTCTAAAATTAGCAAAAAGTATGGATTAACATTTTTTTCCATGTGGGTCTCATATGATGAGCTTTTCCAGGCACATTATCAAAGCCATGCACATTCTTAATAAGATGTTTATTTTAAGTCACATTAACTAATGGATATGTAAAAGAATTTTACATTTTTATAAAGCATTATGATAAATTAAACCAGTTTTCTAATGTCTGGTTCCATCACTATATATTCTGAAACTATAATTTTTGAGTTATTGTATAAAAATAAATAGTGGACCCATTACTATATTGTCATCGACTTAGATACAGTTGTTCAAAATTGAATTATAGAATACTAACACTTGTATATATGTTTTTAGATTTCATTCTAGATTGAGCTTTATTATATAGTTGTTTTTATTTTAATTTTTAATCTATTATCATTTTATTGACCTTTAAATGGTATTTCCGATTTTATTACAGGAAAAAGCAAGCAAAATTACAAAAGGAATTAGAAGAAGCTGCAAAAGAGCCAGTTGTGATTGATTCCAATAGGTTGTATTAGTTTCTGCACCAATCAATACCTATTTAATTTTTAAGTTATATCCTTTTCAAACTTATTAAAATAGCAGACTTTTACACCCATTGTCAAACATGTAATTATAACAGTATTTGTTGTTCGTAGAATAGAATAAGGGCAATTCTGGTGTGTTACATATTTAAGATTAAGCTTAAAGTTAATAAATGTCTTACATATAAACACAAACATGTCAACTTGGCACATGCAGTAAGTTTAACTGTTAACAATATATAAAATATAACTGTTAGACAATATATTAAATCATCATATTTTCCATCTGTTAACAATATATAATTAACTATTTTGTCCATTTATTAACATTTCTGTTGTGCTTATCAGCTAATAAATTTAAAACTATTTGCTAGTTTGAAAGATATAAGCAGTATCAATAAGGAATATAATGTAAAATATATACAGTAATCACTTTTACATTTATGTGTAAGAAATATTTCTGAAAACTGAACATGTTTTTATTCAATTTTTAAAGAAAGATATAATATATTTATTGTTTAATATAAATTATTTCTGATGCTATAAACTTTTTACAAGTTTTTAATACTTTTTTCTATTCTATTCTAATAATCTCAATATTATTATTACCTGAATTATAAAATTTGATTGGTTACATAAATTGTTCATTTTTTTAATTTGAAAATTAGCTTGTTCCAGCAATAAAATTTTAGAGGCATATTAGTTCCCCTTTTATTAAAATATATTTCTGATTATCATTAGGCTATTAAATTTGACTACATCTTTTTGATATTATCTTTGCCTTTATTATTTTTTGTAACTTTACGGTGTGTTCATTTAAAGCTGTGTAGCTGCTCTGAATTATTTCATTCTTCAATTTCAGTTCATTGTATAGAGTTCTATCTGCAATTCTATGCCTTTTCTTTTATTTTCATACCATTGTTCTACCCATTATTGTATTAGAAGTTTAAGAGTAGGTTTTGTTTCAGTTTACATTATGTAACTAATCTTAATATTTTGTTTTGCAGGAGAAGTCAAATTTGCTTAGATGCAATTGTGCCAAGAAAAGTTCATATAAAGTTTGTAAGTAACTTTAAGATTGCTTTTTAAATGTGATTTAATTAAATAAGGACCCTTATTTGATCATGGAATATTTTGTTTGAAATTTACTTTCAATACCTTTTATTGCAGTTGTGTATAATAAGTACCACATATTTTTAGAGCCAACTTATTTTTTTAAAAAATAATTCTGAAATTCTTGAGCTTATTAAGAAAATATTTTTAATAAACCTTCCTCAAGCAGATTTTTGACTAAAGCATTAATTGGATAATGCTAAATGCAAGTTTATCTATCTAGTTACTTAAAATTAATAATTTGAAGATCTATTATTTATTTTTCATCTCATTATTTATAATCATTATAAATTATATGTATATATATATATATATCTTTTTTTTTCTTTGTTGAAATTGTAAATAAAATATTTCTTGGACTATTATTAAATTTTTTTAAACAATTCATTTAACTAATCTGCAGACAGTTTTTATAAATACGTTACTTTATAACTGAGGTATCCTTTAAAAACTTAGTTATTTTTGTTTGCTAATGGTGTTTTTCAAATGATGATGAATGTATTTGTTAAAATGGAAATTTTCCAGGACAAATTAATGCAGCATCTGACAGTAAAAGATAAAACTTATGTTAATGAAATATTCTTGACAATAGAATTTTTATTTTTACTTGTAAAAGGAATCTGATTTTTAACCCAATTTAAAAAATTTTAAAGAATTGGCATTTTTCACCTGATACTTCTTTTATCTTTGTTTTCTTTGATACATTTATATGCATTGGGTGTTTGTTTTTATTAAATTGTTACTGGAAAAGTGGAATTTTAATTTATAGTATTCCAGAATAAACTATGAATTATAATTTATCTCTGTTACCAAGAAATTTTGCTAAAAAGATTCTCTTATTATGAAAAAAATATTTTTTCATTGGTTTGTGATCTTATTATTCACTTACTTACAATTTTTGAAACACTAATATAAAGAACACATTAAAAGTATGTAAGAGTGTTTAGCCTGTTAAAAGAAGGTATTTTCCTAGTTTTTCCAGAGCAAGCAATAAAGGTGTAGTAGCTCCTTTATTTTTGGTCATTGTAGTTCTATAATGTACTTTAAAAAAATTGACAGTTATCTTAAGTTAAGCTTTAGTTCTAAGTTTGAAGTTTAAGTTATTCTTTCAAAGAGATATTATAAATTCTTACTAAGCATTAAATTTTAGAATCTGTATGAAATGGGACATTAATAAAATAGTGGTATGTACTAAAATGGGTATGTGATAAAATTTTGGTTTTTTAGAAAAAGAATTTTAAAATTAATTTTAATTTTTTTATTTTATTTGTAAGAAAGTGAAAAATATTTATAAGTAAAATTTCATAAAGCATCTACTACTATAGAATGTTATGGTGCAGAATGAATGAAAGAGGAATATTTGTCTGATTTAGTAATTGTCTATTGAGTGATTTTTACATAAGTCTGTACCATTATTATTTTAAAAATATGGTTTTAAGTTAATGAAATTTCTTAAATTACTGGGTTTAATTTAATCACAAAACTTTTTTGAATAGGCAGGAGAAACTTCCATAACATTTATTAGATATTTCATTCTCATTGCTTTAATTCTTATTGTAATCTTTTTGATTTTATATTTCTGCGTTATTAGTTTACTAATATTTTTTAGGATGCTCATGATGGGGAAGTCAATGCTGTAGCTTGGACTCATACAGATTTTAAATTTGCTACTGCAGGTGGTGATCATAAAGTTAAAATATGGGATATTGTAACTGGTAATGACACTTTTTATGTCTTTTTTTTAATTTAGAAATTAAATATTTTCATTCCCAAGGATTAAATATATTTAATAACTCATTAATTTGCTACATTATTTTATTGATTAAATGTTAGGAAATAATTTATAAATTTTTTTAAAAAGAACTTTTATCTAAAAAGTTAAGAAAATTTTTTTAAAGAAAAATATCCATAAGAACACTAATTCGCCACTTTTTTTATAATCTTAATATGTTTAGCTACTGTTGGTGAATTATTCAAATTTTAATTATGGTTACTTATTTAGCCAATTGCTTTTCTTTGAGCAATGAAAGCACTGAGTGTCATGAGCTGTGAAATGTTTTCTTACACATCATCTTGGCTGGATTCAATAATTTTCTGCAATTTTTATATCTGTAATTATTAATGATGTGTCTTAAGTTTTATTATTTTAAATGTTTATGTATTTTGAGTAACCGAAATAGTTGATGAAAAGTTAAGGCATGGGATAAAGGAATAGGTTTGCCTAGTGTCTGGCTAGCTGAAATAGTAAATAAAAAAATTGAAGCTATGTTCTGACTGCTGCAATTTCTTAAGTTAATTGTTATTTCGGAAAGAATAGCTGTGGAAAAATAAATTTTAGATTTTCATATTATAAATGTTTTTTTTCTGATAAAATATCAAAGAAGCAAAAATTCAAAGAGTTGTTTTATTCTGATGCTGCTGTTTAATTCTAATCCTTTCTAGGGAGTTTTTTCTATCATTCTAATGTATGGTTGTTATTTTAATGTTTCAAATTTTATTTTTGTAACTTAACTGATGGTTTTTAATTTCCTCATTTTTAATTTTATGTGCATAGGAAAAGCATGTGTGAAAGCAATAGCTCATGATAGTACTTCGTCTATATATTCTGTTGATTTTGACCCAGAGGTAAAAGCATTTTTGCTCTTGTATTCCTTCTAAATTGCTAGTGTTTGATTAGTTTTTACTGCAGTGCTGTGATTAAATATAACTGAATAAAATAACAAGAACTTAAAATATTGCTATCTCATAATATTCCAACTTTATCTCTAATTTCATTTTTTTTCCTTAATGACAATTCTCCTTGTGCCCTTATTTGTTTTATTTGTATTATGCTCTAATCTCTCTATTTCTTTAGCATAACATTCATTAGAATAAATTTTATATCTGAAATAAATAATATTTTATCGGTTTTAAAATGTTTGCTTCAAATCTTATTTTAAGGAATCGTTGGTTCTTGCTGCCTCTTGCGATTCTGCTAGTCGAATATGGAGTGTGCATGACATGAAGATAAAGGTATAGTATTTAGTTTAAATGCATTAACGTATCAAAATTTGTTAGTAAATTATTAAATTAATGTATGTATTAATTATTTATCCCAAAAGTTTAATTGCTTTATGTTTTTGTAAATGTAATTTTTCGTTTTTTTTAAGCTTTATTTAATATGCGAACATGTATTTGTTTTATTGAATATATAAATAATTTAATATGTTTTACTAGTAATTAGTAGCATTCTATTTTAAAAATTAAGTACAGTAGGGACCCAATTATCATCCGGAACGATCGGGACCATCGCTATTCCGGATAACTGATTTTTCCGGTTTTCTGAATCGCTACAAAAAGCCGTTTTTTTATTTTTAAACTCAACTAAAAAAAAAATATTAGGAAATAATCTAAAGAGGAAGAAAAAACGATAAAGTAATACAGTAATGATTATTTCTGAAAAGATGGTATGGTAAACATCTTTCAAACATGAAAGAAAAATCCTAAAATCTTATGAGGAAAAAAAAAAAAACTTTTTTTAAATGGCGGGAAAATTTACCGAATTTCGTTCCGGTTTTTTGGTTTTCCGGTTTTCTGATTTCCGGATAACAGGTTCTGTACTGTACATACTATTATTTAAAATCCATATCATTTAGAGTACATTTAAATTTTTGTTAATAATTTAGTAGAAACTTAATAAAATTTGGGCTCTTACTCTTGTAGCTACTCATTGTACTGTAATAGTAAATGTATAATTTATAATGCTAGTAAAAATAACAAATTGTTTTTTGTTTTTTGCAAATTGTTATTGTTTTATTAATTTTTAGCACACACTTACTGGTCACACTAATAAAGTTATGTCAGCTAAATTCTTAGGAGATGCAACGAAAGTTGTTTCTGGAAGTCATGATAGAACTTTGAAAGTATGGGACTTACGCAAAAGAGCTTGTAAGCTTTTTTTTACTTATATTATATTTTATATTGCAATACTTATGAATATTGGTATGTTTGTTGACTTTAAATTCATTTAACTATTGATTTTTTGCTTAGTTTAATGTTGAATATTATAGATATTTGTTTAATTCATTTACTCCCTTACTTAATATGTTTTACAATTAATCAATAGCAGCAAGTTTCTTAACTTTTATTTAAGAATTATAAAATCTAAAAAAATTTCTAATTGTTAAGATTCTAATAAAACAATTAGATTAAATTATACAATTTTTGTGTACCAATTAAAAACTTAATAACTAGTTTCCTAGACATTATCTTTGAATCAAATTACTTGCAACTATTTAGTCTAAAATTTATTTAAAAATCTTAATTAAATTAAATTCTTCAGTCAAAAAATATATTCATACCATAAAATACATGACAAATTATGTTGGAATTTGAACTAGTTTCCATTCTCCTTAGAAAAAATAATCTCTATGCATGCAACGTTTTAAAAAACAGGCGATAATTTGAATAGGTCTATATTACAATGTTCATGTTGTAAATAGAACAACATAGTTTAAATTTATACAAAAGAACAACATAGTTCAAAATTTCAACAAAATCTGTCAATCTTAATTTCGCATTTATTAAACAATTTTTTTGAAAAAGTGTATGCCTAATGTTCAGTATGTCAAACACTATTTATTTTTCATCCTTATTCTTTAATTATATGATTTATGTAATTTTCAATCATTTCTACCATTTTTAGTATGTAACTTTAATCTAAATTTTAAGTTAAATAGTATTACATAATTTATTTTGACATTTAGTGCAGAATAATTGGTCAGGGTAGAAAATTGAAGACTCTTATAACAACCATGAAAAATTAAATTTGATTAAATAAATTTATAAAAACTATGTTTATGGTATAATATAAATTTAAGGTCCAGATTTCATCTATTTTTCAAATTTTGTGCTTGCATTTTTTTATTCTTTGATTTATCAAGCATCACATTAAATTATTTTTAACTTATTTGTTTTAGTTAGTTTTTGGTGTAAAATTTTTATATTTTAATCTGCACATATATTGAGTTTGTCTTCATTTTTATCATAGATCTTTACTTTTTCAAGTTTACTGTTATATTTTTTATTCATTCTATTTGCATATAAAAATGCAAGCAATATATTAACTACAGCAACTGCTTCCAGGTAATCGAGAACAAGATTTTGTTGAAATGCTAGAGTGTTTCTTTTTTTTTTTTCAAAATTCACTTTGTAAAATTCGTATGTTTTAGTATTTTTGATGGCAAATATCGATTTCTTTTCTTCCCTTTTGTTTTAAGTATTTCTTCAAGAACTTTCAATTGAATTTCATGTTTTTATTTTTTTAAATTAGGTATTCGAACTATTTTAGCAGCTTCAAGTGTAAATGATATTGTTACAAGTGAATCCAACATTATAAGTGGACACGTAGATCGGAAAATAAGATTTTGGGATACCAGATCTGAATCAAGCAGAAATGAGATTCTGATGCCTGGAAGAATAACGGGCCTCGATTTATCTGTTGGTAAGGAAAATTAGTATTTCCTTCTATACTGCTATTGTGTTTGTATAAAATAAAGACTTATGCTATATGACTGCACTATTAACCTTTTTATATCTTAATTAACCTTTGTTCTGTGGTTATAGAAAATTAATATTAGTTTCTTAGCTATGTATTTTTAAAGCTCCTTTTATTTTATTTGACATGAATTTGGTTTGTTTAGTTGCTTACGATTATATTTAGATTATTTTATGTATAAGAGTTGAAAAACATTAAAAATTATGGCTGAAATTTTTCAGATAATTTTACAACATTAATTATTAGTATATAAAATGCAAGCAATGTTTAATATAATATTCTTTATTATCAAAACAGATATAACTTCATATTGTTATGTCCAGAGTGCACAAAATTACCCTAAATGTTTACTCATAAATTAAAAATACCAGACTAATATCAACAAAAGCATGTTATACTATTTTCATAAGAATTAGGAAGCTAACAAATCAGTTTTAACTCAACTTTTTTATGCTATAAAAAAGCATTTAAAATACTGTAATAAATTTAAAAAATACATTAAAAGTAATAGGCAACCACTTTTGGCCAATAGCGTACCTCCAGATAACTGTTTAGTCCACATCTTTTGACTCAAAAATAAACCTCCCCAAGAGAATATAAAACAAAAAGAATGAATAAAATGTTCAAATTATAAAAGTATATTTAATAAATTTATTTTTTTCTTTGGAGAGAAATTTACTAAGCATTTTGTTTTAAAAGTGAAAAAAAAATTTAATACTTATTTTCAATGACATTTTCATGGGAATAAAAAGAATTTATAAAATAATTTTCTGCTAAAGCTTGCTTTCATTTAATCTAGAAAAGATGGACACTGTGGACATAGTTACACTTTTTATCATTTCGCTGTCCCTCAAAGTAGTTGAAGCATATTTTTAAAAAAATTGTTTAAATATTACAAATCTGATTATCATTTGGAATTTTTTTTGAGGATTTTATCCAATTTTTTTGAATTATATTATCATTGCATCTCAGTATCCCGAACTAGAGCCTTGTCTACCATTTGTGTTAAGTATTCTAACTAAATCCTTTAGTATCACTTTTTTGATAGCGATGTAAGAGCAAAGAAGCCCATTGTCAATAAATTCATAAGCATTGCATTCCACTTGATAATAAAGAATCTACAGATAGACTACTCCATCAGATAGAAAACTCTACAGCTGTATGATAGGTTTTAGTAGAGATAAATAAGGATGTCACTCATGCATATCTGGAACATTCCTTAACGGAAACACTTTTGTATATTACTTGTTCTGAAAATTGCTGACTACTTTGAAAATCAATTATTTTGTGCTTATTTTCAAACCACTGAGTAAGTTTTAAATTAAAGTATCTCTACATGCTTATATTTGCAAAGCCATAATAATTTACTTCAAGTGCAAAGATATTTATTTCAAAGTTAAAATTTTTTATGGATACTTAAAAAAAGGATATTTTTTTAATATAGAAACTGAAATGGGATAAATTGGAAAAATGTTGGAACTAATTAAAGTGATAAACAATAGGTTGCTTATGTGTATTTGATTGGAAAACTTTTGTGAATTGATCATAATAATCTTAAAATTTGGTGGATAGTTATATACTTTTTAAAAAAAATAAAAGCTTGATTTTAGTGATAAAAGGGGAAAATTAGAATGATGAAAGTCAATAATACTGAACTTCCAATTATGTAAAGTAGGTTTTTATCCAATTACTTCACCTACATTAAAAATTTTATGGTAATTTTAAAACTGTTATGTACATGTTAAAACTGTTGCCATACATGTGTAATTTTACATTTCCTTTAGATGGATATTCTCTTCTTGCCTGTGTCAGAGATGATTCTCTCAAGCTTATTGATTTTAGAATGAATACTGTAACAAATACATTTAGGTGATTATCTTATTACTTTTGGGTTGCAAACTCTACTTGAAACTTACTTATTTAACACACTATTTAAAATCCAATTGAAAGTTTTGTGAGATTTAACTTTAAAAAAAATATACAGTATGAAATATGTTAATTTCGACAGTTTATGTCCGTGTACCATTATTTATCTTTGGAAGCGCTTATATTTTTATATGCACTTCCAAATTAAACAGCACTTCCAATTGAATTCTTGTTTCTTGCTTGAGTAAACTGCTGTATTGATTTGTAACTGCAGCAATACTGTTTTAAGAAAATTTATTTTTGGTATGAAATTGTTTATACATTGATTAAAATTTTGTATTTAAAAATATACATATTAATGTTTGTTTTATACAGTGATTAAAATTTTGCATTTAAAAATATATGTATTAACGTTTGTCTCGTTCTTATGTTATTCAATAAGATAGTAGTGTGTAGCAGAAAATGACAGAATAATTGTTCCTAAGACTGTCCTAGTTTAAAAGTAAAAGTTAAGGTTACGCAAGTTAGAAATGAGATTTCATTATGGTGCAAATGGTTTCAGTATGGTGCAAAAAAAATATTTTCGAAAAATATTTTATTTCAGTAAATAAGGATTGAAATCAAAACTTATAATACGTTTCAAGATATTTTATCTTTAAAAAACATTATATTGATAACTCATTGGTAAATTCTTTCTCCATTAGCATTAATAGCCATTTGAAGCCTTCTTAGCTCAGATTCTATTAAAAACTTGAGAGTGTAGAAAGTTGTTTCGTCCAGATTTCCGCACTATGTCTCTGTAGAACTGACATGAAGGAATGAAGCAAGCCACTTTAAAATATTTATTTCAATATTGTCAAGTCATTTTGTGGTTTGCCCTGAAGTGTGAGTTGTTTTGATGTAACTAAAAGCCATCAGGGTAAAGTGTGGGAAGTTGTGTGGAAAGTTGGGAAGTTTCTTTTGTTAATTGTTTAGAATTCCAATGATCATTATTCCATGCTAAGCATGTCATTCTATACTTATCTTTTTCTGAGTACATGAGATGTCTTTGATATCTTGATCTTCTTTAGCCTCTTCATTATCTTTTAGAATTTTTTTTTCATACATAAAATTGTATCAGTTCTTTTCAGTCAGTTTTCAGATGTCAGGATTACCCATTCTTATTAAATTTTAAAGTTTCTTCCTATCTCTATCTTGCCAGGATATAATTTTTCACTCAAATCAAATTTTTCAAAATATAATGTATTTTTAAGCAAAAGAAGTTGATTTGTAATGAGTAATTAGGTTCAGTAATTTAGTTCCTTTGTAACATCTTTTATATACATAGTAAAATGGTGACAAGAATCACCAAAAATGCGAAATTTTTTAAGTTTTAAATTTTTTTTTTTTCTTCCTACCATATATGTATATATAATAAAGAAATTATGTTGAGATAAAATTTATTAGTCATTGATACATTAAATATGTTTTATAGTATTTAATTTATTATTCTCAAAAAAAATTATAAATATTTATTGTGGATTTAATGCAACTTAAATGAGTTCACATTTCATTATATTTATGGCCATTATTCCTTTTTTGGGAAAATATTTTCTTATATTTTAGTAATTAGCCAAGAAGATTTGTCAAAAAATGCCTAGCATTAAAATACTATGCATTTTAAATTTGCAAACTTATCTAAGCCAATCTTGACTTTTTAAACTTTATCTTAAGTTTTATTTTTTGATTCCAATTAAAGGCATATATGTAATTGAGGAATTGTTAAAAATTTCCTTGATCAGTACTGTTAAAATAAATTCCGTGACATTTAAAATTGTTAAAAACAGTTTTATCATATGAGCTTAGAAATGTTGCATACTTATGTAGTACATACTTATATAGTACTTTATTTTTCTTCACAGTGCTGATTCCTTTCTAATTGGATGTGATTGGACAAGAGCAAAATTTAGTCCAGATGGTCAGTTCTGTATATGTGGCTCTCAAGATGGGTGCATTTATATATGGAAAATATCAACTGGAACCATAGAAAAAGTGCTAAGAGAACACACGTAAGTTGTTATTTTAATTTATTTTCAGAGTTTATATTATTGCAAATATGACTTAATTTAGTATGGTTTTATTGCCTTTTATAAATTAATAATTTTGCAATAATAAGCAATACTCAAAACTAAGTTTTCTATTGTTTTCCATTCTTTCAAACTCAAGTGGGTGAAGCTGCACAACAGTGAAAAGAAAATATTTAATTAATGAAGTATATCTGTGAGGTAAAACTAACCTAACAAAATTGTGAAAAAGTATCTAATTAACTAAATATTAAATAAAATTAACCTTTTCTTATTCTTTGTTTACAATCAAAAGAAATTGGTAAATGAGAGCAAATGTGGCTACAAAGAAATATTAATTATGGATTATTTAAAACAGAGTTACAGAAAAATTTAATTATTTGGATATAATTACATGAACGTTGTATGTTCTTCTAAGGACTAAGCTTATAGCACCATAACAAACAATAATATTTGGAGTTCCGGGAACTATATTCTAACATAGTGGTGAGATAGTATGTAGAGAAATCAACTATGCTTTATTCCCTCCAGAAAAACATGCTGCAGTTGAGTTAAAGGCTGATATCACATGATGAAAAGTATCTAATATTTGCCGTAGGAGTGTTGATGCACAAATTTTTTTAACTAGCTTTACTTCAATATTGCAATACGCAATCAGTCAATCATATCTGACCATAGCTTCTTGAAATAAGATGGAAATATACATTTATATTTTTAATTGCATTTTTTTTTAGGATTATTAAGTTTTTTGTTTCAAAAGTGTACAGAATTTTTTTTAATAAATAATTTGTAATTTAAATACTACTTTTATATTAAAATTAATGCTTTCCTTGTTTTTCCCAGATGAATAATCTAATAAATGTATTCATCATTTTAAAAATTTCTTCATCTTTTATGTTTTATAAAAATTCAAAATGACATTTTACCCCACCAATATTTATTATTATATTCCAAAACAATTTTCAAAATGTTTTTTAAAGTATTATTTTTAATGTCTAGCAACTTAAAGTTAATTTTAAAAGCTTTAAATTATTCTAGAAAAACAATTTTTCAATTGATGGTTTTTTCCTCAAATAATTTTGTCACAGAAAGCTAAAACAAATTATAATTTCCAAAAAAAAATTTTTTTTTACCCTGTGCCCTCTCAAAATAAAATCTTTTATATCTTTTCGTGTTTACTTGAGAAATATTCCTTGAGAAATTAAAGAAAAAGATGGACATATCAAGCTCATGAAGTTCAACATTTTGAAATTCACTATGGAAAAAAGAAATGTTCAGTTTTAATATTTAGAAGATGAAAGCTTTGATATTGCAACTAATAGATTTGCAACACTTTTATCATAGTTATTTATCCTCAGTAGGAAACTGTTCCAGGTTGCAGTATCAAATTTTGGGAAAGCCCAGAGGTTATCCTACTCTTTCTACCCCTCTATTTCACCTCTATGAGTTCCAACCATAATTGATGATAAATTTTATTACTTATATTAAACCTGATGATTTAGATTAGAAACCTTTTGATTGATTAAAACTTGTTGTTATTTAATGAGTACATAAAAGAGAAAAAAATATAAATTTTATGTCTTCATGTTAAAGATATTTTCTGTAGTTTTCAAAATAAATAAGGCATTTTTTTCCTTTTGTAACACAGTTTGTAAATTTTGAATGGTCTATGTTTCACTCCAGTTATCCATTTCATGAATACAAAGCATGTCAATGAATCTTCCAATCTGTAATCTACTAAACCCTTTGTTCAGTATTGAAAGCTTTGTTTTTCATTATTATTTTTATTGAAATCAGCAATTTGTTTATTTGCTGCTATTAGTAATTGACAAATTAGGCTGAATATTATAGTGGTAATTAAAGCTGCAATTAAATTATCTTCATGTTGCTGATTTGAAAATAAATGCGCTATATAAAATACTTATTTGTTTTTCTATCAAATAAAATTAAGTTTTATGAATTCAGTTGTACTATTGCCCGTTGCTAATTTAAATTTGTTGCACTTATGAGTTTCTTTTTTTCATTCCACCATGTAAAAACATAAAAAATTATTATTTACGGTAGATATAATTATATTTACATACTTTTTTTCATTTTAGTTCTACTGTTATTTCTTGTGCATGGAGTTGGTGTGGAACTTACCTGCTAAGTTGTGATAAAAATAAGAAAGCTGTACTATGGTCTGAATTTTAGGAGGCAAATTAGTCATAAAATCTCATTTTTTTCAAATTCTATGTTTAAAATATCTGAACTTGCATGTAAATAATGTCTTGTTGCCGAAAATGTAAAAGTGCATTGTTACAAATCATTTACTTTTTTAATGTGATGTTTTTCATGATTATATTGATTATCATTCTACACATTTTAATCATATTGCTTTTAGAATACATATTTTCTGTAAATAGTCTACAATGACTAATCATAGCTGGTGCATTCAATCAATTTTTGAAGTATAAAGCATGTCATATAATGTTTTATTAAAATTATTATATTCAAATATTTCTTTTTCATTATTTCTTTCTTAAGAATTGCAGTTTTTTATATTGTATTTTACTTTTTTCTGTCCAGTTTGGTGCTTTTTTTATAACACTGCCAGGAAAAAAATAAAAGCTGAAATGTTTTTATTTAGTAATTCTTTTGATTAAAAATTATATATATATATATATGTGTGTGTGTATGTATATATGTGTATGTATATATATGTATGTATATATATATATATGTATATATATATGTATATCATCGTGTGAAATTTCCCCTCACCACTAACAGCCAAATACTTAAAGCCTGCTGAGTAAGTTTTGTCTTGTAGAAAGTTTTGTTTCAGATCAAACTACCATTCTAATTCTTCCCAGAGTTAGCGTTTATGTGCTATGTCTGGAGAAAATATCAGAATACAACTAGGGCGCAACTATAGGTCCTTACTACTCGATATTCACTAGAATGATCGACTCTGGATTTCACCATTCTCTACATATTTTTACCCTGACAAATGGTATTTTTATGCCAAGAAGTATGCAAACATTCAAAAATATAGAAACATTTTGGATATTTTTCATTTTTTAATGATATGTGGATGATATTTGAATCATTGAAACCTCTCGGCAACCTTATTTTAATTAATTACTAAAATTATTTTTTTTGAAATAAATGTGCTTTAAACTTTCTACATTCTTTTATGGTTTTGGTTACCAAATAGTTCTTCATGCTACAGTTGTTAACATTTTGAAATCTATTTAAATTTTTTGAAAATGGTGGCAGTCAAAAATATTAGTCAGGTTAGTACCTTTTGAACTGAAATTTCATACTCTTTAATATTTATATATCTATCAGGACCTGCGCTAAGCATTCACGACCTTGCTGAATGGGATACAATTGTAAATATGGACAATACTATTGTATTTTGGCAAAATTATTAGATAATTTTTTTTTCAACTGGGAAGAAAAATATATATTTAACTCAATCCTTAAAATTACGTCAAAATTAATTTTTCTAAACAAATCAGTAGTTTTTATTTGATTGCAGTAGTTTTTGATAGATGCACTGCATAACCAATTAGAATCGGGTCCAAATAATATGAGCCTGAAACAAACTACCATAAGATAGTTATCTATGGGAAAAAATTAGTAAGATTTGCATTTGGTGAAGACTCAAAAATTGGCTTTGATATTTGCCTAATTTACTGGCTAGTAGCTTGAAATCCTTAGCGTGGGCCTTGTATATGTATGTATATATGTGTGTGTGTATTATATATATATGTATATATATATATACATATATATTTATACGTATATATTTATATATATATATAAATTTNCTAGATTTTAAACAACTTTCCAATTATCCGAACTTTTCATTATCCGAACCATGTTCGGTCCCGGGCAGTTCAGATAATAGGCGCTCTACTATATATATATATATACATATATATATATATATTTGGTTCTCCATCATTTTGTTTGACAAAATATAAATAACGTATGGTGATTTTTAATTATGTGTTACTTGTCTAAATGAGCTTTACATTTTTGTTTTTATGTTTTTTTGCCATTTTTAAGGGAAGAAAATGCTCATGTCATTTATATGATCTATTTTTCCTTCATTGATTAGAGCTTGTATTACACATTTCAGAGGATAATATTTTCTTAAATCATATTTTAAACAGAAATTGCACCTCATTGGATATCCTCTGGTTGACTTGATTGAATGTATTGTCAATCAAATATTGAATTTAAAATAAATGTATTTATATCTCTTTCCCTACCTTTGATCGTTAAATTTCACTTAAATGTTTCATATTTAGTTGTTAGATATGTTGAAAATTACAGTTACATTTGATATCAAGTGGTTACTGGATCCTAGATTTCTTATAATTATTCTGAAAATAGATATAATTAAAAAAAGATGCCTGAATTGTGCTAAAAACTAAATTATAAAATAATTTGGTGTAAAAAAAAACTTCTTTGAGCTTTTTCATTGTAACAATTTTTAAATGAGAAGTTTTGCATTCCAAAGCCTATACAATTGTATGTAGTCTGCAATTGAAGTAAATATGAATAATATTGTTCTAAAAGGTAATTTTTTGCCATTTGTAATGATAATTTAGCTATAAAGAACAGATGTTACTTTTAAATTCTGCAAATGTGTTTCATACAAATGTGGTTCTACAAATGTAGTAATTAAGTTGATTTTAACTCTGAAGAATATTTAAAAAATTAATTATAATTTGGTTTTAATTCTTCTTATTACTATTTTAAATCTATTAAAGTAGTTATGCCACTCAATATCTAAACAGATAAGTATATTTTATGATTTTTATGCAAGTTCTCTGAAAATTACATGCAAGTTTTTTATAAAAGCTTATTTTGCATGCTTTGAACATAATCATGACCATTTTTCATTCTTTCTCCTTTTTTTGTTACTGCTAAGCAATATTCTTTTTATAGCTATTAGAAAATCTGATGTAATTATTAAGCATTTAACAGCATTTTTAATTGAGTAATGATTAATTAAATTCTGAATAAAAAGCTGTCAATAATGTTAAAAAACATAATACTTCAGAAGTAAATTATATAAATATTGTTATATTTTTATTATTATTATCGGTATTGTATAATCCTTCAAAAATTTTAGTGCCAATCATCACTTTAAGTGCAATGAAAAGTGCCAATAAATGTAATAAAATTTCTCTTATTTTTAATTTTAAGAATTGTAAGCCTCATTTTAGCTTAAATGATTATTTATAGTATAGCATAAATGTGTTTCATTAAAAGAGCAGTCAGAAATAAAGTTCATTTATGTTTAATTAATGCATAGGATGCACATTATCTTGCAATTTACAAAGTATGTATTTATCATCAAACAGTCGTTTTATGGTATATGTGAAAGTTACGCTGTGTTTTAAATTGTGACTAATACATTAACACATTTGAAAAGTCTTAAATTTCATTCTTAAACAATTTCATGACTTTAAGATTTGGTTACAGAAGTTCAAAATGATATTTTACTTGAGTTATTCAGAAAACTCGTTTTTTTCTAGTTGTTTATAAAAATGAGAATTATAACCTGTCTTTTTTAAGTATTAAAACACATTTTTTTTAAATATTGGGATTGTGCTTAACTGCTATGTCTCTTTCATTAGTAACTTACTCTTAAATACCAAAAACAATGTCTAAAAACAATTGACAAACATTTCAAAGTATATTCTTACTGTAGTTTTTGATACAGAAGCAAGTTTCTCTCTATATTTAACATCTGTTATTTTATTTACTAAACTTTTTCATTTGATTTCTCTATTTTATAAATATTTTTATGAGCAAGAGCATTTTCAATATATTATGAATCCGTCAGTTTTGCAATTTTTAGTTTTATTTACGTATTTATATAGATTACACTTTTCTACAGAGTGAAGTATTACTGAACAACTAATGAAAAATTTTTTAAATGGTACGATTCACTCCCTCTAGACTAATGAACTTTTGCTAAGGATTCAAAATAATTTTTACTTACTAGTTCATTTACTTATTTACTGTTGACTCTTTCAATCTGAGCATTGAGATTGATTGCACTGATAAACTTACAATTATGAATTAAATATTTAAAAAATTGTAGTTTTCTAATTTTGTTTTTTAAATAGCAATTTTGGCTTTTATTTTACACATTTTTGTAATTGCAACATCATAGGCAACTTAGGAATGGCTTTGGTGTGACTCAACCCTATTCCAAGTACTTATTATAATTTTTTTCTGTCAAAACCTAATTCAAAATATTCCGAAGTGCATTAATGTTAAAGGGTTTTTAACTATTCATGGATATTTTTTATGCAGTTTTGTTTTCTTTAAAACTTTTGCCCAAACTGGTTTAATATTATAATTATAATGCAACTGCTTAGTGTGTACCCTTGCTTTCTTTCCTTAAAGAACTTTAAAATTAGTAATTTTATTAGATAATTTTATTTGGTTACTTCAATGAATTAAACAAAATTTAAGAAAATTAAAGCACAACGAAGGTCTTGATAATAATATTTCACTTTAAAGAAATTCAATTGTTGGTAAGCTTACTTCACAGAAATTTATTAACTTTTAACAATTCTTTTTTTTTTAAACAATTAATTTTTTGATTTAAATCAGACTTTTTGTGAAAAAGATAGTCAGGTTTAGAATAGTTGGGTTAAGTACCATTTTTTGTTAAATGGCAATTAAAGTTGAGACTCTAAAGTATGATGAATAATCACATTATTAGCAATATTAAATTCAGATCTAAAAATAAGAATTTAATTTATCAACAATCTTGTCTGAATTAGTTATTATTGCAACCTATCACTAATCCGGATAAGATTTACAGGGTGTGACTTCAGATTGATTTTAGTTTAATTTTTTGTTAAATTAACTGAGAATAACTAATATTTATAATATGTTCTCTCATTTTCCATAAAAAAGAACAATTTATGTTTTGAGGGTCAAACGTTTACATTAGTATCTTTTAGAAGATAAATATACATAATCACATGTTGGACTTTTGCAGTTGCTATCGAGTAAATCAGCTAAAAGCTTTAAATTACTAGTTTGGTGTTTCACTAACAGTTAAACTTGTTAAAATTGTGTTTCTGAAATGTACAAAATGTTATAATTTTTTTTTTCATCTTTATTTCATCAAAATAATTTCTTTAAAAATATCTAATTTTAAAAGATATGGAATTAATTTAATAAATTAATCATAATCATCATGTAGTAAATGGAAAATTCAAAAATCATTCAATGTACAGAAATTAGGCATCATAGTAAACACAATATTTTTTTAAAAAGAGCTCATTCATCTAAGAAAAAAGAAATAAGGCCTACTATGTTAAAACTATTTTATCATATCCCTAGTCTAAAGCTGTAACATTAATGAAAATTTTTGAGCAGAACATTATATTTTTTAAATGATCTCTTGAAACCATGGAAGAAATTGTTCACTTAAATTATTAGAATAGAACATTCTATCCTAATACAAATCTTAATACTATCCATACGAAATTCTATCCTAACTTAATTATGGGATTACTTAAGATATTTGTTCACATTAATTTGGTGTAAAATAATTTTGATTTATTAAAGTAAATCTCTGTTCTGTTTATATACTATTTAGAATGTGAATTTTTCAGAATCTAGCCATAGAGTAGTTTTATTTTAATTAGTACTAGTTTTTAGGAAAAAATTGTGTATAAGAATTTGATTTAAGTTTAAACATTGTGATAGTGTGTTATTTATATATTAAAATCAAAGTTAACCAGAATAAAACCAGAAAATAAGTTATTCCTAACAATTCTTGTGTTATTGTAATCCAAGTTATTAAAATGAATAATTTGGCTATGCTTTTTCAGTATATTATTTAAATATTAAAAATCAAAGCTAACCAGAATAAAGCCAAGAAATAAGTTATTCTGGATAGTCTGTGTGTTATTGAGATATATAATTTAAAATGAGTAATTAGGTTATGCTTTTTCCATGTGTATGAGAAATAAAAGAAAATATTTTATTAATTTGTATAGATTAGTTTTTTTTTATTTGTATGACTTAAATTCTTCACAAATGTGTTTTATGTAGCAAGAAGTTGTTGTAAGAAATAATAACTAGAGTAAGTTTAAGTCTGTGAAAATTTTATTGTAAATTCTTTCTTTAACCTGGCAAATTATACAACACATCATTTGTTCTGATAACAAAATAGTTTTCTATTTTGACTTCACGTGACATTATATAGAAAAGCTTTATGCTTTAAACTCTTGTTTGGTTGTCTTTTGAAGTAATTAAAGAGACTATTCATTTTATAAATTTTGCTTTAAAATTTAATGCATTGTTTTACAATTATAAAATATTAGACCCTAAAACTACAGCTTTAAGTTCATATGAAGTAATTCTGATTCAAATAAAATGATATCTTAAGTATATAACTGCTGAAACAACTATATAAGTGTTTAACAAGTTATATTATTAAAATAATTTTCTATAGTTTGAGTCAATAAAGTTAAAAATATTTTACACTGAAAATAATTCCTTTTGAGTTATAGTTTATGTTTAGCAGTATAATATTTCAAAGCCTATTCAATATATATATTTCAGTTTAGTTTGCTTTTGTTTTAATATCTTTTTTCGTTCATTTTAAAAGAAATCTGAAAATGTAAACATAATGTAAAAAAAAAAAAGATTATTTTGTTTCTGCTCATGTCATAATTTTTAAATAATATTCAGTATATTAAAATCAGATGTTGTAAAATCAACTGGAATATTAAAAATAACTATTTGATAGCTTTTTTTTTCATTTTTTGAAAATGATGTATAATTTATAAAACTTAGCTACACAATGTAAAATACCAAAATAATTATCAAAACTTAAAATTATGTAAGATTAAAAGAAAAAAGTAGAATTGTTTTTAACCAAAATATTTGTTGAATGCAAATAATTTTTTTTTTATTTGCAGATTAAAGTTACCAAGCAAATATACTTATGATGCATATTTTAAAATTTTCCTTAAAATTAGTTGCTATGCATTAATGGGTAAACGATTTTAAATTGTCTGCGTATAAAGTTGTACTTTTAAAAAAAAATCATATTCTGTTTAAAAAATTAGATTTTTATTGAATCATTTAACGAGTTATAATTTGTTCTTATTAAATGCGTAATTCAAACTCGTTTTGGGGTCTAACCTGGTTGCTTTCATGTGTGGAAAACCAGGGCCATTCCCCACAAATTATTCAATGGAAAAACTTTTTACTGATTTTCCCAAGTAGTATGGCAGCTGACGGCTTTAAGCAAACTAAAACCAAAATACTTCCTTTTTTTAAAATTTTTTTGTCATAACTAAAATGAATTCATCGTAAAATAATTATCGTTTAAGGTTATGTTACTAATCATTATTTTAAAGTAATCTATCTTAATTTTTTCAGAACCATTATACTTACACAAATGCACTTCTCCTTTTTCCTAAAGTTTTTCCTAAAGTTAAAGTAAAGTCATCTTTAAAACAAATGATCTAAAATAATATCAGCATATAGCTTTAACCAATATTTTTCTATATGAAAAGTAGGAAACTGTTTAATTTTTCAGCATTAACTTCAGTTTTCTTTGTTGTGTAGCATACTATGTTTATAAACTTTAATTATTTCTTTTACTTTTTCAAATGCTTAAATAACAGCAAAATATTACGAACAAATAGATTTTTATATGTTTATCACAAGACTTTTCTATTTAATGTGTGCATAGATTTTTTTTCTGTTAACATTATGCCCCATTTTCATGTTATTTTGGATTGTATTTTTTGAAAAAGTGTTTCACCAGCCTTGTATCTTTTGATACAAAAAAATTAAATTGTTTCTGTAACTTCAACATAAAAATAATAATAGTTCCTCCCTAATGTTGTGTTTGTTCTTTAAGTAGTATACATCTAAGAGTAAAAATTATTGAATGCATAACTTGGTTGTATAAATTTCATTGCTAGCAAACCCTTTAAATCTTGTGTAATTTATATCACTGCTCTCTTATATACATATATTTTTTTTTAAACTGATTATACCCTCCAAGTTATACTGTGATAAATTTAATAATTGATGTTTAAAAGTTAAAAAAATAGTAACACTATCTTAAAAGTCATTTTAAATATTTGCTTTTCTCTTATATGCTTATTTGAATTATTTATCTGTAATTCTACCAACATATCTAATGTTAATATTATAAAAACAGAAGAAAAATTTCCTGTTTGAAAATTACTTCTCTAAAATTGTTGCAAATTTTATCTTTGTACAACAATTGTTATGAAAAATAAATGTTTGATTCATAATTTTTTTTTTTTCGTTTTCCAAAAGTTTTGCTATTTTATTATAAGGTGTTTCACAGTTCTGAATATTGTATATTTTAAATTTTTTTTAAATAAATTTAAAAATAAACATAGGCACATTCTTCTTCAGCAGCACTACAGCCCAGTATTTTGCAATTTTATGTTATAATTTAATCATAGTTGGTTATACTTAGCTTTGATTACAAGTAACTGATTACTCTTGCGAATTGATTACATGTAATCTTGAATCAGAAGTAATTGCTAACATGTAGTTTTGGTTACAAGATATTGCCAACTCTTGACCGTTGTTCTCAAATGTAAAGAGTAAATTAACTTAACATTTTCCAAGTTGAAACTAGCTTTCATGTTTTTTAAAATGCAGTTAATAGCTTAAATTTCAAATGGTAAGTTAAAAAAAAACGCAACACAACTTTTTTATGGGTTTCGAACTTTAATGTTTTCAAGATAATTAGTTACAATTCGTAAATTACAATTTCTCATTTTCTTTTCATCGCCTTATTGGTTAAATTACAAGTCCAATGCTTAAAATATTGCTTAAATTATGCAGGAGAAGACAGTTTTTATTGTATGTTTAATCCTGGAATCGAACTGTGATGTGAGTGAGTTTCATGTTAGGTTGAAGGAATTCAGCATGGGTTTCAGCAGTGATGGTTCTGTCGAATGGATATCCCATTGCTCGTTTGTCTGGATATTTCTCATCCATAACACCGCAATAACTCAGGGCATCATTGCAGAGTTTTTCAGTGCTGGTTGCAGCGACCTGAAAGCAAAAATACATAAAGTGAATTTTTTAAATCAGGAATTAACTTTTAATTAATCAATAATTGAAGAGGTGAGTAACAAAGATGCTAAACTGAATTTCTGTGAACTTGGTGAAGAAATCATCTGTAGAATGTATACAATCTTTAGAAATAACATTTTCGTTTGTTAAAACAGTGTTATTGAAAGAGTTAACTGAATAAATTAATCTTCTATTCTTGCAATCGATTATAATTATATTATTGAAGCATGTTAGATAGCAAGGGCAAATCGGAATTAACATCATCATGTTAAACATGATGTTACATTCGTAAACTATAATTTCTCGTTTTCTTTTCATTGCCTTACTGGTAAAATTGCAATTTCAATGCATAAAATACATAAAAACATGAACATTATTATGTTTAATTAATGAATAGTTAAATAGATGAGTAAAAAATATGCAAAGCTACTTTTTAATGAGCTTGGTGGGGAAGTCATCTGTAAAATGTATCGAATCTTTAGAAAGATGTTTACAACATTTTCTCTTAAACAATGGTATTGAAAAAGTTAACTGAATAAATTATTCTTCTATTCTTGCAGTCAATCGTAACTTTATTTTTGAAGTTTATTAAGTGTCACGCAAGGGAGAAAATCGGCATTAACATCATCATGTTAAACTTGATGACGTTACAATTCGTAAATTGCGATTTCTCATTTTCTTATCATTGCCTTATAGATTAATTGTTAGTCCAATGCGTAAAATACATAAAAATATTAATATTATGTTTAATTAATGAATAATTAAAGAGATGAATAAAAAATATGCTAATTTACATTTTAGTGTACTTAGTGGAAGAATCACTTATTGAATGTATACATTTTTTAGTAAGATTTTTACAAAATTTTATTTTAATCAGTGTTATTGAAAGATTTAACTCAATAAATAAATCTTCTATTCTTGCAGTGTGGATCATAATATATTGTTGAAACTTGTTGAGCGGCATGTAAGGGAATTTGATGAGAAAACCAGTTTTCTTATGCATAGAATCTCCAAAAAAAGGTTTACAACATTTTTACAGTCTGATTGAAAGAGTTGACTTAATAAATTAGTTTTCCATTTATTCTTGCAGTAAGTCATTCTGTTAAAACATATAAAGCGTTTTTTTTAATGATTTTGGAGCGAAAATCAGCTTCAAAATATATAGAATTCTCGGAAAAGGCTCATAACAACTGTTACCAGACCTCTATATTGTCGGTTTAACATCTTTTAAGAAAAATATTTTTTGCTATAAAGCTAAAATTATCTTTTAGCCATTTTCTTTTTTATTTTAACTACTTCAAATTATTGAGGCAATAAAAGTTTCAAAATATATAAAAAATATTTTTTTACCTTATCCTTTTCTCCATCAGAAATCATAACAAAGAGATCGAAAACCATGCCCTTGTCGTTACCCTTGGGTACCAACAAATGTTGGGGCCATCCACAGCTGCAGAATTCAGTACGATTTTCTTGCAAATCTTCTCCGTGCAAAAGCTCTTTGAAGGTGTAGGTTGATGAGATAGTCACGCTAGAGTCGGTTGAGCTCCTTACAATTGTGTTCTTTCCTGGTCGCACTGCAAGTAAAAATATATTCATTAAAGAAAAATAGTAGAACGTAGGGTCAGTGATGATGCACTAATTCAAACAGGACCCTAGTCAGCCGACATCATCAAAAATAAAAGATATATTGTTAAAAAAATGGCTTATTTTTTGTATTTTTTATTATTATTTACACTGTTTGTTGTCGAATATCGTTGGTATCGTTTTGTGATCAAGCCTCGGCAATTGTTCGACGTAATATACATGCATGGTACAATATACATTATCACTAATACTTATTGGTTCTAGAAAAATTTGCAATATCTCGTCTATCACTGAGTTTTCGGATGAAGATGGTGGTAGTTTAATTGTTTCTTTAACTTACATTGTTTATGGACCTGCAATTTTAAAGAAGTTTAGGAAAATTTCTTCGTTAAATCTGATTATGCTCATAATAATAAGGTTTTATATAAACTTTCAAGCGATAAATCAACTTTTAAGTATTAAATTAACCGTTTTTTCAAAATTTTCCCGTTGTATCGATGATCTCTTTAAAGCAAGGCAACCGTCTTTTTTTGCCAGAATATCGTGTCGTTTTGATGTTGCAATGCGTTTTATTAAATATACATCAAATATCCTTTTTCTTCTAATATTTTTAAAAATTCAAAAATCCTCATTAGATAAGAATTCTTATACTACTTCAAAATTATACAGGCCTTTCTGTAATCACTTTCTTTACAATATTGTCAAAACTGAAGTAAAAAGGTATATACATTAGGGATCACAAATGAATGTATAAGCGGTGAAAAAATGTTATTTAAAACGGACAAATCATAGTCAATAAGGGTGATATTCAACTTCCAATGCGTATTTATTTTTCATTTTATTTTTGACGGTGGTTTTAGAAATAGATACTAAAGGTGGGGATTTCGATACACCCTGTCTTAACACAAACTCTTTATATTTTCAATAATCGTTAATTACCAACAATCAAATTATGTCCACTGTAAATTGCGAATCTTGAACTAAAACTGTAACAGATTAATTAAAATGGAGCAGAAAATATATTTTTTTTATTTTGACATGAAGTTGGCATTTAATTACTGCTTTTATTTTATGAAAATTATAATTTATATAATTAAAATATTGAAATTTATGCTTACATTCAGTGTGGAATTTGTCCATTTCGATGAACAATCTCCTTTGATCGTCCAATGGGATGACGTTGCCAAGTTCATCGTATTCTGGAGCAAGGAAAATCCTTACAGTTGCAGATTTTTCAGCATTGCTGGCATTGTTAGCAGAGATAATGTAAGAGAAAGATTCGTGGTCAAGATGGTGGTACCTTGCCTAGTTTAAACGAAAATGTTGTTATTTGCTGTAGCATAAAAAACATTTTGTGGAATTAATTATACGGTTTGTGGGAGAATTAAAGCGATTTATTTCCATTAACAATGCATGCTAAATTCAAAACCAAATATTGTTTAAAGTTATTTTTAAAAAAAATCGAAAATTAAACTTCGAATCCCAGCGATGACTGGTCTATACGAATTCCACATCCGGCTTGCTCCGACCACAGTGCTGACGTAAAAGATCCTCAGTGGTTGACGGATCATGGATTAGAGTCCCCTTTTCGCTAGGCTAATCGTGGGAGGTTTTCGAGGTTTTTCTCTCCATGTAAAGCAAATGCATGTTAATTCCATCAAAAAGTCCACCACGAAGACATATTTCTCCTAATACTTGATCCCTTGAGTTCCCTTGTCTTCTGGATTGGGTTTTTAATTACAAGGATACGTAGGTGAACATTAGTAGTCCTAAACCCAAAAAAATTGGGTCGGCTGTTCAACGACGGTTATAAAATGAAATAAAAATTAAACTCAGTCGGACTATTTCAGAGCACTATAGCATTAATAGCTTTCAAAACAAAAAGAAATATAGGAAGTGAAAATTAGTCGACACAAACGAGGAAAATAAAAAATAATGAAGTTGCAGCAAGGCCAAAGATGGCTTATATTTGTAGTTACCATTGTTTCTATTAGTTGTTCTATTTTTCTAGTTGTTTTTAATTGTTTCTGTTAAATGTTTTAAATATTTAATAAATTGTATAAATAAAAATAACAGTATTAGTTGTTTTTGTAATTAATATAAACGTAAATACTTTTTCTTTACGTTATTATTAAATAAATGGGAAAAATAATAGCAAATTAGTAACTATTACTTTGAAATCAAGAAGATATCGTATAGGAAAATATTAATAAAGAAATTAGATAAATATTTTAACAATTATTGTTTGAGTAGTCAAACGCTTCAAGACTTAGACTTATATATAATAATAGACTTAGACTTCTAGACTTAACTAAAATACTTTGCACCAGAAAGAAAGCGTTGTACCTTAGTGTTTTTTTCAATTGCCTTCACATATTAAATTATTTCAGTCAAAAAGTATAAATTACATTATCAAAAATATTAGAGCAAACTTTATGCAACTTTAGTAAAATGAACCATATTATTATGCAGATTAATACGTCTTTCGTTTTTATAAATGGTTTATCAAAACTGAAACATGATTCATTATACCCTTTAATTAAATTGTAGAAATTTGTATGATATTAAAGTTCCAAGTACTGTGTTTCAAATTGGAAGCGATATTATAGTTTAAATTTTTCCATGAGAGTAGTTGCTTGTATAAATATAGAACTTTTAAGATCGATATAGAATATTCAAGATCGATATAAATATTTCGAGATCGATTATTTGGATTAAACATTCGCATGATACTTACTCTGACTGAAGCTGGTGTTCCAAATTGGAAGCAGTGAGAAAGTTCCAACTCATCTTCTCTCATGAAAGTGTGGATAACATTCTGGATCTTAGCATTAACAGTGACATCAGTGACGGAGACGTCTGGGAAGTTCAGCTAGATTGATTGAAGTCAAAATTTCATTTTATTATTTAATATAGCACAGCTAAACTTTTAAGCTGTCAAAATGTTGAGTAAATATGAAATAGAAAACCTTTGTCAAATTGTTTATGTCAAAGAATTGTAGCTAGTGTTATAGAAGACAAATTTTAAGATCTATTCTTTTAATAATGGTATTTAAACTATTTCTAATGTCTGCAAAATAATTTAAGACATTTTTTTGAATGTATAAACTAATATTTGATTAAAAGGCAAGTAAAATCACCATTATAAAACTATAAAAAAATTAATATACTCTAAAAAATCTGATTAATATTTGATTTAAAAGCAAGTTGATTCACACAAAAATATTCTCCGCAGCCAAACTCTGACTTTTATTTAGGTAGAAAATTGTTTTGACTAGAATCTTAGATAATCCGTAAACTTATAAGAAAACGCTATCATATTTTAAGTGACTTGTAAATTTACTCACTAAAAATTTAAATATATATATATATATATCATCCTATTTGGCTAGACAGCCCAGAGTGAGCCAGTGCCTTCTTTTAAATTCTACTCCACTGCTTTTATTTTCTGCCACTCTACTACTGCTTTTTATTTTCAACACTTGTGAGCCAGTTTCTTTCCTGGATAGCAGGGAAGTTAGGTGGAAAAATATCACCAAATTGGCGATTTTTAAAAAAGTTTAATAACTTCTAAAATATTTAAGTTATTTGTCTGTTCTAAAGCTCAGATAATTCGTCTGGGTAAGATTATATGTATATAGTTTAAATTCCTCGCATTGTTTCAAGTGTAAGGCACTTAAATTATGTTTTTTTTTAAACTTTCTTTGGCGATAGAGCTTATAGCTTGGCGATAGTAATTGAACATTGGCGCTAGTTAAGACATTTCTCATTATTGTAAGTACGGTTAGTTAAGTCTTAAGACTCTTTTCATGTCTTAAGTAAGTACTTCTGATTTAAATAAAATTTTCTTGGATACTTTTACAACAGATCCGGAAAATTATGTAATTCAAAGATTTATCATAAATACATAACTTACGTTATCCTTGTCATAAACAGGCAAAGTTTTCTTGTATTCTTGGAAGACATTGTCAATGAATCTGTGGAATCGGTAGAAAATAGGATCTCTCAAGCTGGTAGCTGTGTCATTCATGACACCTGGTGTTTCCTAAGAAAAATATTTCATGACATTTAATTTAAAGCAAGGTTTCTTAGTTATATATCAAGTGCTCACTTTTTAATGCTTATTTAAGACTGATTTCGAAAATCTTACCCTGAATCGACCATCAGGATCATGGATGTAAGCCATCATGACGTGTCCCCAGTTGTGCAAGTTGCCATAGAAGTGCCTGTTCTTGGAGTCGTAGCTAGACTCAATTAAAGAGCCAATGATGTCTGCACCATGTTCCTCATCAAGAGCGATATCATTTCCCTCAGCATCAATTACCTTTCCAAGATGGATGGCTTCCAAAATACGTTCGGTCCATCTCTGCATGTCCTGGACATCTACTTGTCTCATGTCGTGCATGGCCAAACCACTTGGACGTGGAGCATAGTGACGTCCACTGGCAATATGGGTAAGATGGGCAGCATAACCTTCGAGGGGTTCTTCAAAGTTATGGAAGGGTACCATTCGGTTCAGACCGTTAGAGAAACGTTCGCAATCGTACCTAAAAATGATAATTAATATATTATAGTAATTATTATATTATAATAATTATTATAATTATTATATTATTGTATGTAGCATATTGATATAATTTGATTCAATTTTGAATCATAAATTTTTTGTTTTGTAGTCCTGTAACATTTTCATTATATTATAATAATTATTATATTATTGTATGTAACATATTGATATAATTGGATTCAATTTTGAAGCATAAATTTTTTGTTTCGTAGTCCTGTAACATTTTCATCTCAGAAGTTTTGTTTGAAAACCTTCTCAGTTAATTTTCAGAAATTTTATAAGGTAGACAAAAATTATCAATCACCATTGCTTTTATACTTTAGTAGGTGTTATGAATATTATTTAATATTTATATGTAACATATTGATGGTAATTAGATTCACTTTTGAAGCATAATTTTTTTGTTTTGTAGTCCTGTAACATTTTTATCTCAGATGTTTTATTTGAAAGCCTCTCTCAGTTCATTTTCTGAAATTTTATAAGGGAACAAAAATTATCAGTGATAAATACTTTTAAACTTTGATAGGTGTTTATGAATAGAAAAGCATTTATAAGTATTCTTAGATATCTTCATGAAAGATATCAGTTTTTATAATAATTAAATAGTGAACTACTTTTGAAACAAATTAGGTGGTGTTCATCTAGTAATAAAAGACAAAATTAATAATTTTGAAATTTTTAATTTTTCAGCATTTATTTATTTACGTGCTTTTATATTATATAAAAGGATAAAATGGTTAAAATAAAAATGTTTTGATTTTATTGAATTAATTTAAAATAGCCTTGGTTAATTTATATAAAAATAGATCTAAAGCTAATTTTTAAGTAAGTAAAAATAATTTATATAAAGTTGGTTAAAATAAAAGGGTAAAAGAATAAATCCTATATAAAAATTATTAGTTTTTCAAATTGATTTAAATTTCAAAAAAATGGCTTTATTTCTTTCGAAAATCAAAAAGAAAAAATTTTTTTCAAAAATTTTCTGAATCAATTTAAAAGTTTTCAGTTTTTTTTTCTTAGTTGCGAAGTTAAGCGTTTTTGATTCAAAAAATTGAGTTTGACTGGTTTTGGAACCAAACGTCTCACTTGTTGAATTTTTAAGGGAAAAAAATTATGTTGATAAATTTTGTCTAGTTGTTTCATACCTGGCACACATTTGTTGATGCATGTAGTAGAAAAGTTCTCCTTTTCTGTCTTTTGGTTTTCCAAAGAATTTGACATCATAGACGGATGGATAAACAACGTGCCAATGCCAATGGTGAGCATTGACTCCAATATCTTCTCTGTAATATGCAAGCTTGTATTCTGGATCCAAAACGTTACCGGTTGCATGAACATCAACGATGACGTCACTCTAAATTGATATTTTTAAGGAAAACATATTTTAAAATACAGAATGTATTTTTAAACAAAAAACATTACATTTAAGAGAATAGGGAATGTTTAAAACAGGGAACAGCGTGCTATTCCTGTCAACGTGTTCCATTTAAAAACAGGGAACAACGTGTCAATGTCAATGGTGAGCATTGGCTCCAATATCTACTCTGTGATATGCAATCTTGTATTCTGGATCCAAAACGTTAAGGATTGCATGAACATCAACGATGACGTTATTCTAGATTGATATTTTCGAGAAAAACATATTTTAAAATGCAGCGTCAATTTTAGTCAAAAAAACAAACAAACATTCTATTTAAAAAGCAGTGAATGTTTAGGGTGTCATGTAATCACCACCTTTAATATTGCTGGCAATAAATGCAGAAGATGAATTTATTCTAATAAGTTTTGAAGTAGTTTGGTTTCAAATGAAAACGTATGCTTCCGGTTAATAGTTTCTTGATGCTTCTATACATCCTAAATCGGATTTTCAAAAATCACTGAAATATTCCATCGAACTCTTTAATTGTAAGATAAAGTTTTAAAGACGTTTAAGCTTCTATACAGCAATGATTGCCTACAGATAACATATTTCCTCCGAATTGTTTTTCAGATTTCGATCTATTATATTGTAGTATACATTAAAGATCAAATAATTTTTGATATGCAATTTGAATTTATCCCACTCTTTTTTATTTTTTAATACATAAATTGGTTTAAGAATTAAGAGAAATCAAGTTTTGAAAACATCAGTATGCTAAAAATTAAATTTTTAGCCTTCTTTCTAAAAGATTTAAATATATTAGGCACATTATCTTAATTTGATGTATTTTTTTAAATATGATTATATTGTAAAAAATTCCTAATTTATCCATGATTTCAACTTCTTTTTAAAGAATCATATGTATGCATTTTTTACTCTATACTTTCGGAGCAAAATANTTCTTTAGTCCGCATTTCTAATTTTTTTTTAAATAAATGTTAACGCCCTAACTTCTGAGTAAATAAAAATTGTAAAAATAGTCTACTTTTCAGATTCCAATGGTTCGAGCAACCCTTAATCTTTCTTTTGTATAGAAAAAATAGTAAAATTAGCCTACTTTTTAGACTCCAATGGTATGAGTGATCCTTAATATTTATAATTTTTGTATATAAATCTAAGAATTTTTAAGTTTCAATTTGAAAACTTAAGTGATATAACATAACATAAGTATTGAGCCGTAAAACTACTATCTTAAAAACCATGAAGCAAAATATTGTTTTGATATCGTACCTCATCTCCAACTGGCTTGGTTGTAGCAATGGAGAATGCTCTGAGGAGAGTATCAGCTGGTACAAACCTATCGGCGAATACTTCCTGAATGGGTGGAACAATGACTCCTCTACTATCAAGTCGGTGCAAGATGGCTACCTCAGCAGCATATGCAAACAAAGTTGAGTTTACAAATGTACGGGCTTGTTCAGCCAACAGAACGAAATCATCAAAGTCTTTTGCACCTGAAAATAAAACATGGTTAATTAAAATTATTAATAACAATTAAAATTTAATAGGGATAGCTTAAGGGATATATGGAAAGCTTCTGAGACTGGTGATTCGGGTCTGAATTCAGTTATTTCAGAGTAACAACCTGCTCTCAGCCTATACAGACCAAAATTTTGATATAAATATTTGTCAGTGGCAAATTGAATCAAGAGTCAATCCCATTGCCATCGGGATAAATGAAGGATGTTTTGCCGTTTTCTTTTTAGCTAACACTGTAACAAATTATGGATCAAATTACGATTTAAAGTACTGGCACTTTGGGCGCATAATCTGTAAAATCCATTTTACCTTAAAATTCATATAAAAGGGGTGAACTATATCGAATATCGAAAAGAACTTATTTTGATTACATGTACTTCAAGTTAATGAAATTTTGTTTCATTTTAATATGTTTAATATTGTTAATATGATTATTGATGGTTAATACACTTTATTATGGTTAATATGGTTTATTGTGGTCAAAACTATTTATTATTTTAATGTATTACGGTTTATTTGTTGGTTTATTACTTTCAGGTTATTGCAAAATATCACCACGCAATAAAAAAGCTGTCCATATTGTATTAAAGTTTGAAAAGTTTATTTTTTCCACTTTTTCAAAGAACAATAAGATTATAACACAGGTGTGAAAGCAAAAACTTTATACAAACGAAAAAAAAAACAACAACAATATTTTTGAACTTCTTAACCGTTTTTGAATTAAATAAACTATTTTTCACTTTAGAATTTAGAAGGAATTTCAGAATCATCATATTTATTTAATTCAAAATATTTGAATAATTTTGAATTGTGAAATAATTTAAGTCTAACTGGAAAGGTTTTGATTTTTTGACAGTTTTGATGGAATAAGATTTCGGACAGTTTTAGTGTATTTTTTAAAAAATATTTTATATACATTATTTATCTATAACATTCATATGTACTCAATTTATAATAAATAAATATTATAAATTGAGAGTTAGTTAATTCAAATTAACTTTAACAATTTGTGACACAAAGGGCAAAGTCACTTTTAGTTTTCTGCTATAACTATCAAATAAAAGTTAAAACTAGAGAAAGAAATCTGTTATTACAATTAATATTTTTAAAATTAGTACTTAATAAGTTTATACTTTCAAAAGTCATTGACTTTCCTCTGGCTAAATTCATAAACTTGAAGTTTAAATTTCATTTTTAGAATACAGTGAACTCTAAAACTTGCAATAAGCCGTAATTATAAACGATATATTTTTTTATTTTATTCATTACTAGGAAAACGATTTACAAAACAAAAAGAATGAGTTTTAGATAATAGTTTTACACTGATAAAATATACTTGGACATTTTCAATATAAAAAAAAGATTTTTCTATAAAACATTTTAATTATAATAACAGAACGATTTTGCAAGAGTGCTTAGAACATTTTGTTTAAAAAATTTCTGCTGAAAATTTAATCATAAGCTTTAGATGAAATAATTATTAATAAAAACAATCATGAACCTAAAAAAAAATCCAAAATTTTTGTGATCAGTATACTTAGGTACTTTCAATTAATTTTATTTTTTAAAATTACTTTAAAAATAATAACTTTCTATTAAAAAACTTTTTTATGTAAAATTATTTTAAATGTAATAATTTATTATTCTTATTAATATGTGTAGAAATTTTTGATTATAAACAATTTTTATTAAATTATACTTTAATATAATAATTTTAGATCAGAAAAATATTTTTATTGCAAAGTGAGTTATTCTTTATTATTGTAAAGATGCCTAAAAATTTTTGATTGAAAAATTGTTTAAAAAAATAACTTACAAGATTTAAATTTTTTTAAAGATATATTATTACAGTTTAAGACAGTTTTATAAATAATAGCTTTCATTAAAAATCTTTTAGTGCAATTATTTAAAGTTTAATAATCCACTTTTCTTGTAAATATTAGTAGAAGTTTTCGTTTATAAATAATTATTATTGAATTGCATTTTAATAAAATAATTTTAGATTCGAAAAACCTTTTTTTATTGCTAAAGTAATTTAAATTTAATTATCCTTTACAATTGTAATGACGCATAGAAATTTTTAATTGAAAAATTTTTTAAAAAATAGCTTCGAAAAGTAAAATCTAATCTTATTATAAATATGCTTATATGATTAAAATTTTTAGAAGAGATATTTTAATAAAATTAATTATAAGTGCAATAATTTAACAAAATTTCAAAAAGTAAACTAAGCAAATTTAAATTTTGTTTAAAAGACTTATTCTTTCTTATTTTGTTGTTTAAAGGTAAAATAGTTTATTAAAAGCAAAATAATTCATTAAATAATTTATATAGAGATATGGTAATTATATAGACCTCTTATATAATATACAATTAATATAAGATATAATTTTTATAGAGATAATAATTAATAATGGTAAAATAATTTATTATAATGAAATTTTGGAACAAATTAATAAGGATGATCTTAAGCCAAAATATCAAAATTACTTTTATATGTGTCTTAATTATTTGTAATTAAAAAAAAGACTTACTGTAGAAAATTTCAACGAGCCTTCGTGCTTCTTCCAAATGTTCAGGCAAGAAACAGGAGAAGAAAGCATTGCTAGCCAATTGTCCTACTTTGCCTACAAGACGAGGATCAATTTGATCAGTTGGGATATTTTCACCTGTAGCTGCAACATTAAGTCGTTCAAACAGCTTCAGAACACGGACTTGTTTTTCGTGGAGGAGCGACATCTCGTTGATAATTCGGTTTTTTGCAGCTAAGCACAACCGGGGTCTAGCACGAATCTAGCACCATCGATTTGTATGGCCACATTTTATACGAGACCAGAACGAGCATTTTCTAAGAAATGTTTGCTTTCGTCTACTTGTTAGAAAGCAACTCTTGTATCTTCGCCGAAAACGTCTTTGGATGAGCTATTAATAAAACTGGGATTGGTTCTACGATTGTTTGATTTGTTCAGGAAATAAGATTGAAAATGGATTGTAGATATGAAGATAAGATTCTGATTTACTTTTCTTTCATTATTTATTGCTGGAAATATGCTTCAAATGTGTTTCTGAATGTTTTGAATGAATTCTAACAAGAAGAATAGTCAAAGCTGTTGCAGTGTTTGACAAGATGAATTGATTACTTACAATTAGTAACTTGTAATCATAATTGTGATTGCCATAATCATAATTTGCGATTATCATTGTAATTGTGTAATCATTAATGCTTAATTTATGATGCATTATTTATGATTAGTGCAATCATGACTACTTGTAATCCTGATTGCAATAATCATAGTTTGCGATTATTATTGTGATCGAGAATAATCATAATTTACTATTGAAAATATCAATAATTTGAGATACAATTATTATCTTCATTACAAGCAGCAATAATTTACGATCATGATTGAATAATTACGAATAAATCCAAAATAAGGCAAAAAAAATCCAAATAATTCTGTTTGTGTTGTATTACATAACTCAAACATAAATTAAAAGAAAAATTTATAAGCTATTCCTACACGCTTCAATTACAAATTTGCTAAGCTACTCAAATTGCTTACTCAAGAGAGTAAGTATTTTCACTCAAATGAAATTATCTTTAAATAGAAACGCAATTACAATTAGTAGTCCACTATTATAGAGCACTCAAAAGCTAACGAATCTTGCAATCCAAAATTTTTTCTCTGAGAATAGGCTATATATAACCTCAGTTTGTAGCATAAAAATCTTCTCTTTAAAGAGAGTTGTTTTTTTTTCAATTTATAGAAAAAGAAGACATTGTTAAGTTGCAGTTTAAGTAAATAATAATCTAATAGCAATATTTTCTAAGTTGTAAAAAAACTGAAAGCGAATTTATCCATTTTTCTTTCAAATTGTAGTAATTTCTTGCAAGTAAACATTAAAGAAAAACAGCTTTTTTTATATCAAATTCCATTAGGATATAAATTAATTGCTATTAATTAATGCATCTGTTGTCTATTACAGTATCTTTAATTTCTAGACAAAATTTCTATTTATTAAGTTTCACTATTTACCAAAAGTAACTTTATTACAAAAGCAAACTTACATTTGCTTAATAATAGAAATCTGAAATTTATTGACAATAAGATCGTTTATTAAACACAGGCAAAAAATAAATTTTAAGTTAAATTATTATGATCAGCAATTTTACTTACTCGATGGATAAATATGTATCACGCATTTTATAAGGGAATTAAAATCCCTAACTCTAAAAATTTATATAATTTATTTATCTTTAGTATCATATTAATATTTTATTAAAAGTCATGAAATAGTTATATGTAAGTGTATTATAATTATGATTTTTTAGAACTTTTTTATACCATATAGATCAGGGGTTTCCATCTTACATGAGGCCGGCCACAATTAAAAACACAAATCAAATGGCGGGCCCCAACTTTATCAAAATTTTAAGTAGGACTCTTTTATGCTTGAAGGAACATTAAATATTAATGTCAGATTTTTACCAAGTTGTACAAAACAAAAGTATTGAATTGCAAATTAAAATAAGATGTAGATTTTTAAAAAATTTTAATTGCACATAAAAAAAATTCGGGGGCTACAATAACTTTAATGTGCACCCATGTATTAAACAATTAATGTGCAACAGATATCTAATTCTTAAGATATAAAATTTTAAAAGCAAATTTAAAAAATTAAAACTTACATAATAGCACGCAAAATGTTCAATGACAAAATTGAGGTTTGTCTGCTGCAACCACCAGAGAATAGATATTTACATTTTAAATTTAAAATTTACAAATGTGTGTGTAAATATTTTCGTCCAAAATGAGTGGTTTCAAAAAGTTAAATCGGAGAATTTCTTCGAGAAAATTTTTGATACACGCATGCTAAATTATATTCACAAAATACAAAAAAATGAAATAAAAAAGAGCAGCATACACGATTATTTTTATGTATGACTAAATATTTTCTTGGATGCAAAGCCTGAGAAATAATTTTTTTTTGCACCGTTGGTATGATAAATTTCTCAGAAACTAGGTTTTTATTAACAAGAAAAATATTGTAAACCCATATAGATTTTTTACGAAAATTGTCCGCAAAAAAATGACAACTAATATATTTTAGTTCGTGGGCCACAAAAAAAAGTTTCACGGACCGGATGCGGCCCTAGGGCCGCCAGTTGGAAACCACTGATATAGATTATGCATTTAGATGCAAATGAAGAAATAATTTACAGTTGATTTGACGATAATTTTTAATGGTAAACAAATTTTTATTGAATAATTGAAAATCGGGTATATTTAGGTTAAATAAATTGTGGGGCTTTGATTCTTCTAACTTACACGCTTTCAAAATGCACTTAAATTCTTACCTTATTATTTGAAACATATTTGCCGAAATTGAGGACAATAATAAAGTAAACAAAGGGCTACAATATTTCGCGCGATTGTTTTCAAGATTGTACACAATGCAAAATGCCCCTAAATTATAATTAAGCATTACCTTAAAAAATCAATTTTAAATAGTTTTAGTGGTGTTCTCTTTTAATTTTCAGACTTTCAAGTTTTGATGAAATACAATAGAGGTTAAAGCTATGATAATTGATAAATCGTATCTAAAATCGTTTGTCTATAATAAAAAAAGCGAAAACTAATTATAATCCTTTTGCGGGAAACTTTCAAAAGCACCCTGAGAAAAAAGTATGGTCAAAACCCAAAAACTATAAGAATTTGGTGAATTTTAACGTGTTTCTGGCTCTCTGAGAATATCAAAAAGCGTTGTAATTTTTATCGAAGCACTTTGGTATTGATTTTGGAAAAATTAACAATTAAACATTATTTTGTGATATGCATTAAAATTTTGTAATTTTATCATGATATCTTAGTGCATTGTATAAAAAACCATTTATTCGGTTAAATTTACTATTCAGTTTTGTATTAATGTATCCTGCATTAAACATTTAAGAAACTGACCTTGTATAATTTTAGAATAAAATATAATTTCGTATTTTGCTTTAAATACAATGATTCTACTTTTAATTTATTTATCTAACATTTATTTTTAATTAACATGTTTTTAAAATGCAAATTATGCATCGATTAAACAACAGTAAATTTTCCCTTTTTAATGTATCTCACGTAAAACACTTGAACAACTATTCTGACATAATTTAAAAACTGAGCATTTTCTTGTATTTTTCTTAAAATTTAAGGTTTATAATATTATTCATTTTAAAATCTAAACAATTTGTCTTTAAAATACTTTTTGCATGTTGAGAAAGAAATGTATGGTCAAAACTACCAAAAAAAGGTAAAATTATCGTATTTCTAGCTCTATGGGAACACCAAAAGCTCGGTAATTTATACTGAAGTGCTATGGAAATAATTTTAGCAAAATTAACAATAAAATATGGTTCTATAATATAATGTGATAAACTTTAGTAATTGTGGTGAAATTTGATAATTTCATCTTGAGCTTGACATAACAACTATTAATTCAAAATTATTAATTAATAATTAATTGTTATGAAATTTACTTTTAAATTTCGTAATTTTACTAAATGTGTGGTAATTGGAACTATATATTTGATAACCACATTACCTTGTGAACAGAAAAACTATCAAATGACTGGTTGAAATACCGAATATTTTGCTTTTATAAACCAGAATTATTGGTTTTGTTTTTACAAAAAAAGTCATTACCATACAGAACGGTAATTTTACTAAAAATTTTTTCTATGAGAAACTAAAATTTAGTTTCTAAAAATTATTGAATATGAAACTTATCTAGAAAAAAATTAAAAGGGATTTCTAAATGTGTGCATAATAAATTATACACCACAATGTTTCCTATAACCAATTAGCTAACTGCTAAAATTCTTGTAATGTTTTAAAGATGAGGTGTTTCGAATCAAAATAATTAAAACCAATCTTTTCTTACCTTTTATCACTTTTTTAAATTAAAGTCCTTTATTTATTCTTTTCAAGACATATTTTTATTCATTAAACTCAAATCAATACGATTTATCTACTTTGAATGAATACAATAAGATCTACTGCGCCCAGGAACCTAGAGAATTTTAATTCATTTTTGTCGCCTCTTTCTTTTAAACTTTTCGTCAAAATTCGGAAATAGCACCGTTTGATATCTTTACCTTCAATATGCAATGTTATTTATGTGTCGCGTAGTATAATCATTTCCGGTAGCTCTATCAATAAACTCGACATACAATAAATTCCATTTTAGGATTCTAATTTACCCCTCATCCTTTTATTTTGTACCTTTACACATTTTCTTACCTTAAGTAAGTAATGTCGTTTTCATAATTACTTCCTGCTTTTGTACTACCAAACTGTACCTTTAATCAGACATTCAATATTCTTAAAATACTTAGAGATTCAGATAAAAAGCAATTCCCTCCTTTTAAAAAACGATTCCCAAAATGAATTGTATTTTTTTTCCGTTTGACATTTTAAACAGATTCAAAAAAAATTTTTTTTTTAATTTATACTTTATTATATACAAGATTAAATATTTAATTATATATTTTACAGATACAAGAGTACTTTACAGATAATATAGAAATTTTCAGATGTGTACTTTATTATAAACAAGATGTTCCTTAATCACCAATCTTTATATATATTTTTATCGTTATTAAAAATGAAAAACAGTGCATATTAAGGATTAAAAATTAATATTTAAGCGAGGAAAAACACAAAATAAAAAATCGAATGACGCCGGGGTTCCGGAAATCATTATAAATTTAAATGTGGTATGAACCTCCTCTCAGTTTCCTCAAAACATGATTTGATATTTTTAGTCTCGCC